ACAGGAACCTGCCTACGAGCACAACACTACACTAACACTATCCGCTCGGAAGTCGGGCAAAGTTTCTTCTTTCTTCTATAATGTTTTTTCTTTATTCTATAATGTTTCTTCTTTCTTCTTGCTTGATACTTCCCTAACCGTAGACCGCGAAACACGACAACGATGAGGCGAAAAGTGCACACCAAGAGATAAAAGAAATAGAATTAGCAACAACGGTTGCAAGATGGCTTCCGGGTCGATTGGCATGGCCCCTCCGGCTCAGAGTAACGTCCGTTCCGTGTGAAAGCACGAAGCGGAATCTCACTGTGAGGCCCGCGTGCTTTGCTGGTTATGATCCCTTGACCGACTCAACTTATTCCGAAGGTATGGAGAGGATTGATTTTTAACAACGCCAAAAAGCAATGACATATTAGTACATTCGATATTGAATATGGAATTCATGGAAGCTTATTTTTCTTTATTGAAAAATAGATAATGCGAAAACAGCGTATTAATTGTGTAAATACGCTGTTTTCGCGTTTTCAGCTAGACTGAATACATTTTTTTAATCGTCTTGGAAATACAGACGTGATGTTATTGCGATTGCACATGTTAATTTTAAAGTTAACAAAAAAAATATAGTCGTGGGTTTATATAGCCATTCTATCTACCGACACATTCCCGTACTCCACTGTGTTTTGCGTAACCTAGAACTGGGTAAGGGTTCGCCAACAGTAGGTGATACTGCGTACCGGAATTCATTGGTTGCAACTTGGACCCCAATATGGTATACCGTCATAATTAGTATTGTAGTTACGTAGTACAACGTGTTGTGCAACCCGAGCCGTATCGTAGAATGGCCTGACCGGATTAAAGATCAAGCACACTCATTCATAAGTCACACGATGGGAGAACCTGTGAACTCGGCATTATGATTTCCGCTCCGTTACTAAAATGATGTACGTAACTATTACATGCAAAACAATGCATATTTATGCGATAGCAGAAATGGCGTTTCCATTGCTATCTCCGAAAATCATCAATCTATATGAAATTTATATGGGACCATTTCAGAAAAAAACCCTTCCGAACAAAAAAGAATTTTGCTAATCTGTCTATATGACGAAGTTATGCCCGAACATACATAAAAAAATATAAACATTCTAATTAATAACCTCCTACTTTTTGAAGTCGGTTAAAAAGAAGAATTCTTGAGTTATGTCTCTGATTTATTAAACCATTTAAGCTGAGAACGATATTGAGATATGTACTCATATTTACGTAAACCGAAAATATACCAATTACGAAGGCTGCAGCCGGAGGGTGCAAAAAAGTGCAAAGTTAAACTTAAATCTACTTATTTTATTATGTAAAAATAAAAAGTTAACTACATTTCTAAGTGAGGTGACAGTTGCTCGATGTGAGGGACAAAAGTGACGCTCAGTGCGATGCTTCGGACGATCCCGGTGTCCAACACCTGTGTTGCGCAACCACTTCGAATCCGTTCGATTACGGGCAACGGCACGCAGCACGGATAAAGCAATCCCTTGAAAATGGAATGTCGTAGCTGGGTGGTTGCAGTGTAGGCGATGTGTAATTGTGTAACATACCTAATACAGTTGTTGTAGAGACGCTGCAGCTTATTAAGTAAATCTTGGTTTAGATCCGAACAACAGACATCTGCATAATGCAAAATGGGTAAAACAAGGGAATTAACAGGCATAAGAGTTTTGAGAAACAGAAAGCATTTTAAAATATGCAGAGAACGTAAGGTGCCAATGACATTGCGACTAATCTCCTTGACGTGGACATTCTAGCTTAGAGAATTATCCATATAAAGGCCAAGATTTTTCACTGAATTGGCAAACGGAATTAATGTATCGCCATAATAAAGACTAGGGATATTTGGCAGGTTGCCATTTTAAAGGGTTTATTGTAAGCCCATACTTAAGAGACCAATCTTTCAGTACTTTTAAATTGTTGTTAGGGTTTGAAACTGCATGGGGGATGTTATCTATTTCTGATTGCACATAAAGTTGGAGGTCGTCTGCATACATATGTTACTAGCAATTAATAAAATTATTTTACCGAGTTAATAAAAAGATAAAATATTAGAGGAGAGAGAATACCGCCTTGCGGCATACCCCAGCATTCAGATCAGTCCAACCAGAGGACCGGTGTCCTATGAGGACTGATTGCTGACGGCCGCAAAGATATGTTGACCACTCAATGGCTGTAGGTCCAAACTTTAAATGGGAAAGGATAAAGAGAACCTCTTACGCCGAAATTGTCAAAGCCGCCGGGCTAACAGCAAACTACACGTCACAAAAAAAATTACAAATTGCTTGTGTGAAAAATGGAGATCGGATGAAAATGACTGGGATGTGTTGGATTGGAGACTTTAGAAAGAAGAAAGAAGGTCTGAAAAAAGCTTTTTTTTCCACAAAGTTGACAAGTGGTAGTCATTCGTAATTTTGTTGTGTGCGTGTTAGTTATGAATGATCGCGCGTAAAATAAATGAGTTGCCCATGAATCACGCACTTTTTTAAATAAGTTCAAATGAATGTATTTAATTAATTGACAATGATTTTAAATATTTAACATTTTTATATAACATTATTTATGTTTAGAATTTAATTTAAAAAAATGGTTTCACTTAAAAAAACCTCCCTGTATACAACAGCAACATCAGAAGCCTCTACGTCGCCCGTGATTTATTATGACTTAAAAAACGATACCTATAGAATAAATATGATTAGGTAAACATATTTCGATTTATATACCTAAATAACAAAGCAGATGGTAAATTTTATGTGACTAACGCAGATTAAAAATAAAGATCACATTTCTTTAAGTACTTTTTTTCCTTACAAAGGACATTAACATCCAAAAATTAATACCTACACAATAATATAGGTAGTATAAAATATCGCTATACGTAAGTACTAAAATGTATATATTCAAAAATCTTGCTTTTCGTAATTTTGTATAATTAGTACTAAAAAAAAATATAAGACATGTAGTTGTATATGTGGGCAAGAAAACAAAAACTCAAGGTAAGAAAAAATATTAACTTCGAAGGAGTTTTTATGCACATCTTTTTCTTCCACTGCACACGGCATATAGAAAAACGCCAAACATTCTTTTGTTAGTTCTGTTAGTGAACATTCAATTTATGAACCCTTTTGTATTGTATTGCATTTGTAAATTTTGTATCCATTACATCTACTCTTAGTTTTATCGAATCAATAATGTATCTGACATTATCACCGTTCGATAGACGTTACATTCAAATAATAAATAATTTTGTAAGATCAGCATTCTTACAGTTCTTAGAAACTAATAAGTGGGTGACCACCAAAATTTTTGTATACTTTAAATGACATACAATTAAACTGTAATGTACAGCATCTACCTATATCGTGATCAATGTATGATATCATTAGGGTTCCGTACCCAAAGGGTAAAACGGGACCCTATAACTAAGGCTCCGCCATCTGTCTATCTATCCGTCGGTCAGCACGCTGTATCTCAAGTACCGTACCGCAATAATTAGAAAAACAGAATAAATAAGTGGGGCTCAAGACATGATTTTTGCCGCCTTATAGATGAACGGAACCCTTCGTGCGCGAGTCAGACGCGTTTTTAAATTGTAGAGGGAATTTAATAAGGTTTTCAAAAGAATTCCTACATTCTTATTATTACAATTTCTTATTAATTTTATAGTTTTCATTTTATTCAGATCATTATCAAAAAATAAAACAACTAATAATAAATAACTTTTTATTAAAATGACAATTAATTACATAATTATGACTTTAACTACATCTATTTGATTAAAATTCACATTAAAGTATATTATCATTTTACTATAGGTATTCATATCCCAATGAAACACACTTCTGTGGAATGATTTGTTCCAGAGCAAAGTGAATGGTAACCTGAAAATAACTGAATGATCGAAGTTAATAAAAGACGTACTCGTAGGGCCATCGACAATGTGTAACTAACATTAGTTAACATTTTTATAGCCAAATTATATAAAAAGTTTTGTTGTTAGTATTCCATAATAATAACAATTCTCATAAAATTTAAAACTTTATTCCTTATTATTATATATTACTAGCTGCTGCCCGCGACTACGTCTGCGTAGAATAGGCTGAAGGCGTAACATTCAGACAGAAAGACAGATATATATATAAAATATGTATATAAATTATTGCCTATATATTCTGATGTTAAGCTATATTATTGTAAAGTTTCATAAAAATCCATTCAGTAGTGTTTACGTGAAAGAGTAACAAACATCCATCCATACAGACAAACTTCCGCCTTTATAATATTAGTAAGGATAAGTAAATAAGTAACGATATTCTTAAAGGTGCTAAAACTAAGTCGAGATAAATCTAATCGCAGCAATTACAAACACAGGATCTATAATACTAACAGTAGAATACGTGTCTCCATCATCAACATAAGGAACAAAATACATTAATTTAAAAAAAAAAGTATTATTAAACATATTTACAAAATGCCTGTTCTTAAACCAGTAATGGATTTTGTATAATTGAAAAATACAAAACAATCATAACAGAAATCATTTACATGCGTACAGTTTTGAAAAACCCGCCTTTTGTTATTCAGGTAGAAACATAACAATAGTAATCTTTTCTACCAACATGTCAAGTTTACTTTATGCAATTTCAAATTTATACAAAGTTAATAATGATTTTGTACATGAAAAAGTTTATTGTTAAGAATTTACAATTAATTTAGAAATTATTCCATTTTTTTTAACATATCTGGTGACATTTGATATAAAAAAATCGCTCAACAGCGTCGTATCCGGTCTCATTAAATAACCACCAGACGGCGCCTCTAGTACAACGTCACTCGTGTGTAATGTGTATCTATAGTTTCCTTCTGTTTTGAAACCCAAGCAAGCTTAGTGATTTTGTTCTTTGGATAATATAACAGGTAATCCAATAGTGTTAATTGTGTGAAACTGCAGATTTGAGAAGATGGAAAAAAGAGTTGTTTTGGAACTGAGGGGAAGAAATCCTTCGCAGGTAAATAGACCTCTACACTTCGTTATTGGAATGTTTTGTCGATACGTATTTCGTTAGACATCTATGTGTAATACTTAAAATAACGAGATTTTTGGTAATAAATAATGAGTCTTTAACAATAACTTCACGAAACTGGCCTCATAACATACAAATCCACTATTTAGATGTAGCGTTATTGTTTATAACGATAGCTAGTACTGATTGTTACGTCTTCTACATGTCCACGTTCTAATATTACCAAGTATTCAATAAAGACATATATTTCTGCTTCAAATGTTTGTACATATTACTATGCATTTAGCCCAAAAGAAAATCAGTAATACTTCTATGGGTTACTACCTAAAATGTTAAATTTGAGGTTAAGTATAGAAATGCTCTAGACGTAATAAGTATAGCTGAAAAGCAAACAAACGATGGTAGGGAATAACAAGTTTTAATAAAGCTTTGCATGTATGTTCCTATTCAATTTGAATAATTGCTATCAATCATACACCTGATTAGTTTTTCAGTTTTTACAACTATTGTTACGGTGTTGACCACCACACTGATATTAAAATTCCGCAACTACTTAATAATTATTATTTCTTTAGACTAAGGAAAGACGTAGCCGAAATATTATTTTATTATTACAATATTTTTAACTATACGATTTATGAATACTAGACGTAAGTAACATTTCGCGCCCTTTCACCTAAGTAACAATTTCTCAACAAGAAAGAAAGAAAATTGATTCGATAGGTAAAAGGTAAAAGATTTATAAAATTTTTGGTACTAGCTTTGTTTCTAGCGTAATGAAAATAGTATTTACGCTGTAAGCAAATACTTGAATTTTGTTGTTGCACGCCTTACCAATATAGCGGCCATTTTTATTGCGTCGCGATGATTCGTGTCATCCGCCATTGCAAATTATAAACTTATCTAATTTTAGCGGCAACTAGAACACGTTATAGCGATTTTATGATGTAAACGTTTCCATATACACATTCATTTCTTATTTCAGTAAAATAATTGTTATTAGGATCACTTGCTAGTATTTTTTTTGCAAACTACGCCAATATGGACCTTTGACAACTCACACCATTTTGACGTTTTGCGTGGTTTGTATTCTAAATATATCGTTAGGCCAGTTGTAATACTTATTTATTCAAAATTGCTCCATACCTAATATCATAAGTGTTTTCGGTGGTCTAAAATTGTATGTTAATTTTCAACTTCCATATGTTACCGTTTTATTAGTATATAAAATGTACAATTGTTGTAACCTAGTAGACAGGGTTACCACCTACCGAAAACGACCCTTGTTTTCCAACAAGATAAAATATATGTTAACCAACTTATAAATATATTTATTTGTGCATTGCAGGTCAAGGAACTTAATTTAGATAATTGCAGAAGTACCACCATTGATGGGCTCACAGATGAATATACTAATCTTGAAGTACTTAGCCTTAATAATGTTGGTCTAACAACTTTAAAGGGTTTTCCAAAACTACCCAATTTATTGAAGCTAGAGCTCTCAGACAACAGAATATCTAATGGACTCAACTTTCTAAATGGATGCAAAAAGTTGACATATCTCAACTTGTCTGGTAACAAAATTAAAAACTTGGAAACCTTGAAACCATTAGAAGAGTTTGAAAACTTAAAAAATCTTGATCTCTTCAATAATGAAGTCACTAACATTGAAGATTACAGGAGTAAAGTCTTTGCTCTACGTCCATCACTGGAATGCTTAGATGGGTATATATTATTTTTTACATTAAAATTAATAACTAAATTTTTAAATGTGGTAGGACCATGCAATAGTGTTTGCTGTTGCACAAATGGGCAGGTCCGTCTTCTGTGTTTAGTCTAGTGAGTGAGGTAGCCGGGGCCCACATTATTTAAGGGTGGCAACACATCTGCAACCCTACGGGTGTTGTAAATGTCCATGAGCGGCGGGTATCACTTAACATCAGGTGAACTGCCAGCTCGTTTGCCACTTTCTCATATTAAAAAAAATAATAAAATGTTCACTAATAATAAATATTGAAATTAATTAATTATGTATTTACATTTTATATTTCTATTTTAGATATGACAAAGAAGACAGGGAGGTAGACAGTGACAGTCTTGAAGAGATGAATGGAAATAACGACAGTGATGATGATGGTCAGTAATTAAAAATATTGTTATGCATAAATTATTTTTTGGGATCAATCATCCAAGGGGCCATGAATTAACACGCCATATTGATGACTTTATCCCTGGGTTACAGATGTGGATATAGATTTTGGTCCATTGGTGATTGACAATGATAGTTTATTACAAAGGCCTCCAGAGACAAAACCTTCTCTACTTATGTCATTGTATACTGTTTACGGTCTTCTATTCCACATGGGTTACCTATTAAAAAGTAAGCATCATATTATATTACCAGTGATGCTTATCCTCATTATAACATGAATTCTTCATTATGTCATCATTTGATACGCTCCATTAAACAATGCAGCTCAAAAAATATTAAACTTGATTTGAAAAATTAGCTAACCTTTTTTTTTTTTCAATTGTAATATTTGTAAAACTAATATTATAAACATACATTATGAAAAGGTACACAACCGCTGTTTCTAAACAGGAATCATAAAGGCGATAAATAATTTAACCAAAATATAAATAAAACTATATTTAGGCCCCTACAAAATTAAAAAATTACAAATTTATAACATAAACACAACCATTTAGTTAAGTGCCATTGCATCCCCGTATCATTCATTATACCCAGTCTTAATGAATTTAGTGCTTTCAAGGCATAAAAATCTATCTATTATGTTTAAACAAGCAATTCTTGTATATATATATAATCGGAATCTTGGAAACTGCTCCAGCGATTTTCATGAAATTTAGTATGTGCGTAGATTGATAAATATCATTCGAATAAGACGGTAAATTTCGCCGAAAAGAAAAATGTTATAATAGCTCGGTCGGTAATCGGGCGTCCCCGAAATAGAAGGCCGCGGTTCGTGTCACGATCATTTACACACTTACTTTTTTTCTATACCAGATCATTGCTTTCTTTATTTATTTAATTTCCAAAATACTCGATTTACCAAAAAAATAACCGTCGCCCTCTAGGTACTAATAATATTAAAACCATAGTAATGCTATAATGCTGTATCGAAACACCGTCTGAAATAATTAATTAAAATATTATATAATAATAACATACTCCCAATTTTCTGCATATCATTTAACATTAATATAAAAATTTCGGACAATATATTAATCTTAAATTTGTACTATATTGTAGGTAAGTAAGTAAATGTGTTTGGAGTACTAGATTGTATGTGACATGTATTATATTTTATTACAATAATATTTGCTAATCACAAGAAATTAACAACAAAGTTGATAACATTCAAATAAGCTTTTACAAAATTACAGTTTGCAACTTAACATTTTCTTTAATAAAACTGCAATTTTAAAGTAAGAATGCCTACGTTTGCTTGGGTATCACCTGGGAATCATTGCATATTGTCAGATACTTTTCTTATCATTAAATTTATTTTATTGCATTTATTTGTAACTACTAAGCAAGCATTAATATTAAGCAGGAAATATTTGAATAAAATGTTTCTTTTCATACATACATGTGTGATATTGCTGATTTTCATGCTATGTTAATTGTCAGTGGGATTATGTTTTACAATTAAATAAACATTGATCTACTGTCTATGAATTTATAACATTAAATAATATTTTTCGATTTGTTGCAGACTCTGATGATGATGTTGAAGAAGAAGAGGATGATGATCTATCTTTATGTGAAGTATACAATGAAAATCTAGGTTGGTAGATATTGTTAACTGCACTATAATTTCTTGTATTGTCGCAAATCTTCTTATATATAAAAATGGATTGCTGTTCTTTAGTCTTACTAAAACTTGAGAACGGCTGTACCGATTTGGCTAATTTTGGTTTTGAAATATTTGTGGCAGTCCAGGGAAGCTTTAAACAATAAGAAATTATCAAAAAATATTGAAATTCGATTGAAAATCGTAATAGCAACAATTATATTTTCCCATACAAACTGTACCTGTCCACCTGTCAGCTATGTCTCTGTGTAAGCTGTCAAACACTTTATGTGTGCGTTCCAATTCCTCTAGAAATAATTTATATGGCAAAATAATGTTTGCCGAGTCAGCTAATTTATAATAATAGTTTATATTAATAATAATAATAGTTCGCAATAATTACAATTTCTTTTTCATTCCAATATCAATGTTTTTATAACTAATTTAAACCTTGCCTAGAAATACATATAGAGATATGTCATACATTTTTATAAACTAATTTTTACAAAATGAAGAATAACCAAAGTGAAATCTTTAACAGATGGCATATATTATTTGTTAGTTTTTTGTAACAAACTCAATATTTTTCCCTTTGTTTAGAAGAAGAGAGCTCTGCCAGTCCATTATATGAAGCTGAAGGGTATTTGGATGAGGAGTATGATCAGGATTATGAAGATGGGGATGAGGAAAATGATGCTAATGGTGAGCACAATTCCAAAAATCAAGGTGTGTAATTTATCCTTTATTAACACAAATTTATAGTTATTCCTAATAAAAAGCAGTCTTGTTTTAAGGTGGTATATCCTTAACCATATTAAATAATGCCCATAAATAGCATCAGCTATAAATTGAACAAAAATTAAGTACTAAAAATAAAGTACTGTAAAATATATCAAATTCCATGTACTTCAACTTTTCCTTTTTTAGCAGTTTTCAATGAATATGCCAATGAACACTTATTTATTATACAACATAGTTAAACAAGCAAAGCTAATAATATAGTGCAACAATTTTTTTTTTGTGATTTATTGACACAACTGTGTGATATTCCCATGTAATTGATGCAAAACAATTATACCTATGTAAATAAGTGACAATTATCACCTATTAAATGCACAATATACATTAGCACAATTTTTAAATGTATCATCTCCAAGACTTGTCAATGAAAAAACTTTGTAGAAATGATTATTATATTGATAAATAATAAAAACTTGTTTTAGATGGTGACAACAAGAATGAAAACCCTGAAGAGAGCACTCGGGGTAAAAAACGGAAACATGAGGATGAAGATGAGAATTAAGTTGCCTTAAGCGGAGTTATCTTACTAGTTTGTAAGGGTACAGCGCTCCGATTCATCGGACAATAAATCACGATACATTGAAGTAATCCCCATAGACTAGTTGTCATTTGTGAGATTTGATACCATCATCCTGAGAGAGGCTTACATTTTGATAGACAAACAACAACACAAAGTGCATCGGTTAATATTAATGTCTATTGTGTGGTAACTAGATTGTTGTCCGACAAGTTAATGTTTCAATTAAATTGTTTATGTAATAATCATTTTTTATTCTATTGACATGCTTAATTTTAGTCTAATCATTGAAATGAAAGTGCATGATTTTAGGGTTACATTAGCTCTCAACAAGTCTTGAAATCTAAAAATATTAATTAGCTTTAAGTAAAAGGAAGTTGATTTTTTTCAACAACTCTAATGCCTTCAAAAACGTTTCGATTTTATTCCAATGTTGGTATTCCGCCTGTGTACTAATATGACCAAGTAATTAGACTGGTTGAGACATTAAAAAGATTAAATGTTATGACTCATTGGTTTTCACAAGTGTGTACAAATTGAAAATACTAAAAAAAAATATTAAATTATAATTAATAGAGTCAAACTACAAACTTTTGATTACTTGATTTGTATATATATATATATTGTGGTTAAATTTATTTTATTAAATGCTTTAAAATGTATTATTGCTCTTGGCCACCATTGATATCAAATTTGCAATTTAATTGCTCTTGTAAATTTAATATATAGGAGCAATTCTAATAAGCCATAGCAAAGTGGGATAACACAATTAAATTTAAAAGTGCAATCTCAACATTGAAAATGCAATAAATTTGTTATTATTTGATAATTCAGTTGGTAACATTTAAAGAATTTGTAATTCAGTAGTGTTCAAGAGTTGTCAATTTAAATGAAAGATAAAAAGTTCAGGCAATTATATAACATAAACAGTTAATACAGATACATAAATAACGTTTGGGCTTTCAAATTATATTGTAATCTCACTAATGATAACTTATGCTCATCAGTGTTTGCATAATATAATTCCAGAGGGCGTCGGCAATCAACAATTTTAAATCAAATTCTTTCACCTGATGAGTTAAGAGAATATTTTTCTACAATATTTTTTCAATCTTAAAGAGCAATTTTTGCACTTAAGTATATCAATGATAATTTATGAAATGTTTGGTTGATGCATCATGGTGAATGTGCCAGAAATGTTGAAGAGAATTTTAGTTAATAATTTTATTGTATTATGTAAGTCATTAAGTTTAAGTAATTTACAACTTGGCCTGTTGATATATATTATATAATCCTATTAAGACTTTATTTCTGGGATTGTAAAATAAAAACTAAACCTTAACTTACAGACTTTTATTCAATGTTTTCCAAAACTGAACAAAATACAGTATGTTTTATTACGTATTTATAAGCTTGGTCTTAATTATTTTGCTGTTCCAAAAATTGTTGTAATAAAATACTATCAATTGGTATCACTAAATTTTCACTACCATCATATGTCCTCTTTATTTTAACTAATTTGTGGTCCAAAAATTCCGTAAGTTGAGCTCTCAAAGCCAAATCTGAACTCACCAGAAATTGTTCACGTGATTTCGAGTATAAATCTTTAAAAGGTAAACCTGAAAGTAAAAAAAATATTATTAATTTGTTTTATCCAGAATAAGAAAGAACTTACAAAAATAAGGGACAGACAAAAGCAAATTAATGTACAATGCTATGCTATCATGCTGAACTTATGTTAAAACTTTTTAAACATAAAATTACTTAATAATGAAACAATTATAAGAAGCAAACACTACAAAAATCATATTTGTGTAATATTTGATGAACATTTTGACAAGGTTGTTTAAAAACATCTCATCGTTCTTTCGAGCCTCCTTTTGATTTGTTACGTCGTTCATTATGTGGGCGGCAACAGACTTAAACAGGCCTTTATATACTATTTATATTATACACTATTGAAAGAATGTGCTGAATGTAAATATTTAATAGTGTATTTGTAAATAATTTCACCCTATGCTGAGGCGATAACATCAAAGTCATTTAAATTTTTATATTGCTTATCTATGCACTTAAGATGAAACATTAAATTTTGTGGAACGGACAGACGGAAAGATATTCGCCGCTGTGGGAATCAAACCCACGTCTTTCGTCATTATTATTATTATTATTATTAAACGGCTGATAGCCACACCGAAAACAATATCAACATATTTAATTCATTGTTTTTTTCGCATTTCAAGCAATGCTTGGCGCATCTGTTGTTATCTTCAATTATTCGAACGAGTGTCGCCAACGTAGTGGTTAATTGTCTGGGCGTGAATCTGGAAGACGGATTCAATGCCCACGGCGGCGAATGTCTACGTCCATTTTTTTACAAATTTTAATGTTTCATCTTAAATGCAGTAAGCAATGTAGAAAATTTAGATGACTATTGGATGTTATCGCCTCAGCATATGGTGGAATTATTTACAAACAAGATTTTATTTTATAACATAAAAAAATAAATACATCTATGACACATATTATTCAAAAAATGCTAGATTTCCATACAGCAATAATGGACGTAAATATAGATATAAACCTGCTATTTGCAAACATGCTCTTAGGATTAGCCACTTTGAGCGCCGCTATTAAATATTTAAGGAAGTTTTTAAGTAATTAAAATCACAAATTTTCCAAATAGTTTTATTCTGGTGGAGCAACACAACAGCTTCTGCTGTTGCATAAATGGGCAGGCTCGGCAGCGACAACGGCCTCCACAGAACCAGACAGACCGGCGTGAAGCGGAAATATTATACATTCGCGTTTCATCTCGTATGTAAGGTAACCGGGGCTTACTTATCGGTGTTCCGTGCCCAAAGGGTAAAACGGGACACTATTACTAAGACCTGTCTTCCTGTACCTGTGATAATTACGACAGTTCAAATTTTCACAGATGTATTTCTGTTGCCGCTATAACAACAAATACTAAATAACAGAATTAAAAAATATTTAAGTGGAGCTCCCATACAACAGACATGATTTTTTACCTAATAATTTGTTGTATTTACGCGATTACACATTATAAATGAAACTAATTTTACGGATTTATTCCCGTGACCATGAACGCTGTAAAGGGTTCGAAACGTCGGGAATTAAAATTAAAAATAAATGCGATAAATCCGTAAAATTAGTTTCATTTATAATTATTTTTTACCGTTTTTATAAATGATGGTACGGAAATTATGGTACGTAACCCTTAGTGCGCGAGTCCGACTCGCACTTGGCTGGTTTTTTTTATGTTTTTGTTAATGTAATGTTCTTCACTATTTGAGGGATTCAGGAGCAGATATTAAAACGCGTTGAATAGTACAACCGCCATTTATTGACTGATTCATTAGACGAGGGTACATGCCGAAAACATAATCTTCTACCGACAAGACATATATTACATCCCTGCCCGCTTAAATTGACAACACAGGTGGTATGAGTATAATATAAAAATACAACTTGTAGAAGATGACAACAAGACATATCAATACAGGATAGACTATGCGTGGTACCAGCGTACAATGTTATAATTATACACATAGCATTGAATTTCGAGAAATATTGTAAACTAGAGAATTCACAACATTTGTTTGTAACATTATTTTTCTCAATAATACTTCTTCCTCCACAATATAGACAAATAATACAAAAAAATTAAAAACTAATTATCCTAATACATAACAGTAATCAAAACAAAAAAAAAAACAAAAACAAAAAGTTACAAAACTAATCGTTTAGGTGGTACTACCAAGCGACCAGATCGAGTGCGAATACCTGGCTCGTCAGGAATAGGTGTGCGGGGTTGTTGCCCTAAGTCTGTTGCATTTGACGGCGTACCGAATGAGTCTTCTAACTCAGCCCACTCGGAGGCTTCACTACTACTGCGCAAGGTCTGGTTCACAGTGGGAGTGTTAGGCGTAGATCCTGGGGGTAACCGGCCTGTAAGCTGTGTTACTGAGCCTGAAGTAAATAAACAAGGATTATCCTCGGTACTCACGTCCTCAAACGTCCATGCTCCAGTACAATTATTACCTTTATAAGAATTGGCTGAAATTAATTGATACCTCCAAACAATATCGGTACCTAGTATAGCCACATTATACATTACTTTACCAACTCGCGCAATGACCTGGCCTAGGATCCATCTTGGTCTTTTCGCGTTAAATCGATAGTCCCTCACCCAAACTCTGTCTCGTAACGTAAACGATATTATTTTGCCACCAAACCAATATTTTTGTCGGTTTTGATTCAATAGTACTCGGTTGTGCAACTGTGTTTCGGAATTTGAACTTATGCTTTTATACTTATTACCAAATAAATCTAGTTTACAGCGTAAACTACGACCGAACATGAGTGACGCAAGAGACACACCCGTAGTGCAGTGCGGTGTATTCCGGTAATGAAACAGATAGTTATCTAATTGACTTACAAAATCCTTTAAGCCGCTATCTTTGATGGCGTTAATGATAAAACGCTTACAAATCTTAACCGCGTTCTCGGCGAGTCCATTACTTTGTGGCGAATACGCGGGAGACAAAATGTGAGTTATGCCGTTATCAGTACAGTACTTAGAAAATTCAGACGAAACGAAAGTTTTAGCATTATCCGTAACAATAGTATTGGGCAAACCAAAACTAGAAAAAAGTTTCTTTAATTTAATGATAAGATCTTTCGTTAACAAATTTAACATTAATTCGCATTCGATCCATTTACTGTGAGCATCAATCACCACTAAAAACATTTTTCCACGAAAGGGACCGAGATAATCCAAATGTATTCTTTCAAAAACCGACCTGCGCCATTCCCAGGGTTCAAGGCATGCTCTCGTGGGGTTAGCCCGGAAGGATACACATCGGTCACAATTAGAAACCAATACTTCTATGTCGTGATCGATACCCGGGTACCAACAGCGTTCTCTAGCTAATATCTTCATTTTAATAATACCCAAATGTGCGGCATGCAGTTCTTGCAACACCGCCTTCCTAAAAATTGATGGCACCACTATTCGATGACCCCTCATTAAAATGTTATTATCAATATATAATTCATGTTGGCATCGATAATATGGCAGCAGTTCCGGTGGAACCTTCCGGGGCCACGAATGAGTAACATGGTGCATAACAAGTGACAGGATTTTATCTTGTTTGAAAGCATCGCGCAAGTCATTTAACGACGCGGGCAGTGACGCGCCCGCCGCAGCTAGCGCGTTCACATAACTCGGAATCGAAAATTCTGAGATTGCCGTATCTCGAGACGAATCACAATCGATAGGAAACCGACTCAAATAGTCTGCCACATTTCCCTCACTTTTTATAAATTCTATCTTATAATTATAAGCCGAAAGGAACAAAGCATAACGTTGCTGCCGGGCTTCCGTCATCTGAGGAACCCCCTTATCAGGTGAAAAAATAGATAAGAGGGGTTTATGTTCTGTCCTCAATATGAGTGGTTGCTGTCGACCATACAGATATTGATGAAACTTTTTGATACGATAAATAATAGCAGTCGCTTCCTTCATAATTTGACTATAAGCTCGCTCACTTTTACTGAGTGCACGAGAAGCGTAGCTGATGGGTCGCTCAGCACCGCGCCCAGCCCGCCGGGCGCCGCGTCCAACGTTAGCACCAGTTGCTGGCTCGGGTCAAAGTGTGCCAATAGCGACTCGAGCTCAACTCGCTCTTGATTGCATCGAATGATTTTTGATGTTCCGCACCCCAAGTCCAAGGCACATCTTTCCTTAATAATTTATGTAGTGGCTCAAGAATAACCGCCGCTTGCGGTATAAAATTACGATAAAAGTTAACTAATCCTAAAAACGATTTTAACTGCTTAACGTTCTCTGGGATATTTACTTTTGAAATAGCTTCCACCTTATCGGGATTTGTATGAATACCAGAGTGGTCAATAACAAAGCCTAAGTACTCTATTCTATTTTGAAAAAAAGAACATTTGCATCGCTGTAACATTAGACCAGCATCACGAAACCGGCTTAATACAGAATCGACGCGTTTCCAATGTAATTCGGGAGTGCGAGCAGCGATTAACACATCGTCAAGAAAACACACCACACCCTCTATATCTTGCAGAAGTTGCACCATAGCACGCTGGAACAAAGCTGGCGAACACGCCAAACCGAAGACTAATCTCGTGTAAACAAACAAACCCTTATGCGTATTTATGCACGTATACTCTTGTGGCGCTTCATCCAGTGGAAACTGATTATAGCTACTTGATAAATCGAGCTTACTAAAATATTTGCAACCGTGTAAGGATACAACATAATTCACTAATTTTCGGTAACGGATAAGAGTCTACGATTAATGCTTTCTTAATAGTCTTTGAATAATCGTCGCAAATACGTACGTCATTATTTTTCTTAAGCACAGCAACGATCGGTGACGCGTATTTCGAATAAGAAACCGGTTTGAGTATTCCAACGCGCACTAAACGGTCAAACTCTTCTCCAACCTTATCTCTAAGTGCAAATGGCACAGACCGAGCTTTAAAAAATTTAGGCGTAACACCATCTTTTAAATGTAATGTTATTCTATATTTATTAAACGTGCCGAGGTTACCCGAAAACAAACTTTTATATTTGTCTAAAATTGATTCTCCTTTTCCTAACGAGCAATAACTTAGCGAAATCAGGGCAAAATTAAATTTTGACATGAAGTCCCTGCCTAGCAAGGGAACGGGACCATTATCTACAACATAAAAATGAATATCTTGTGTTACATTATTATACGTCACCGGTAACTTACAAACTCCGAGCAGACTCAAGACTGATCCATTATACGTACGTAAAGTTTTATTTGACTTACCGAGAAAAATACATACGCCACAGGTGTCCGGGCAGTGCCGACACCCCACTTCCAGAATCGACCTCCATAATGAGTGCAACACCCCGCACACTCACCTCCAGAGCCAGCGGGTTTTCATCCTTACACAAAATATTATTAACAGTAGAAGAGTCATATCTAGTGTCATTAACCTGTAGCAATTCACTACAATCGTCACTGTCAATACATTCAAAAATATAATTGTTCCGTGGACTACCATTTTTTCTAAAAACTGCGCTCCTTGTCGCCGTAGGCCTGTTAGCTACATTTTTATTTAAACACATTCTTTTTAAATGCCCCTTTTCACCACACACATTACACGACAAATGACGGTAACCACATGCTTCGGCGTCGTGTGACCTCGCGCCACAAACGCCACATCTTGAGCTGCCACCGCCACCGGCGCTGCCACCGGCGCTGCCACCAGCGCTGCGACCGGTGCGCGTGCTGCCTCTCCGACGGGACTCCGTATAAAGTAATGACTCCGTTTTGGTCACCGGTACCAATTCACCAGCAGAAACAATACCCTGCGCACTCTCCACAGCGCGCGCTAGATCTACAGCTCGGGTCAGTTTGAGCTGATTCGGGTCTTCTCTAAACAACTTCTCACGGACCGAAGCTGAGTCAATACCCAGTACAAAACGGTCCGTTAAGCACATTTCTAGTGACGACCCAAAATAACATTCCGACGCTAAACCACGAAGACGAGCGACAAACTCAGTTATTGACTCTTGAGGTTCCTTTGCAGCTGCATAAAATTTCTGCCTTTCTGCGTATACGCATTTCCTGGGATCGAAGTGACCATTAAGCGTAGAAATAATAACATTATAATCCGTTGACTCAGGCGCATCTGGATGCAATAAATCGCGTGTCAGACGATAGGAGTCCTGAGACATGCCATTCAATAAAATTGCTCGTCTTTTCGTTCCATGTGGATCGGTAATTTCATTAATTTCATTTGCCACGAAGAAATTATTTAACTGCGCTACGTGTACAATACATTCGTCTGTTTCGCAATCGAAGACGGACACACTGCCGAATTGACGCCACACATTTTGACGCGTGAATTGTAACTTTTAATTAATCAATTTTTAACAAAAATAAACTCGTCGCCACTGTAATGTCCTTCACTATTTGAGGGATTCAGGAGCAGATATTAAAACGCGTTGAATAGTACAACCGCCATTTATTGACTGATTCATTAGACGAGGGTACATGCCGAAAACATTATAATCTTCTACCGACAAGACATATATTACAGTTAACATTAGGTTGTGCAATCTTTTTGACATTTGAAGATACATAGTACCGTGTTAAAGATCTCTTGTAAAAAGGGATAACCCAAAGAAATTGTTCAAGATAATTTCAACAATATACAGAGACTCTGGACCGTCGTCATTGAAGGCTATACGTCACCGTCAATTTTATTAAAGAGCGGTAAACTACTACTATTACTCTAGAAGATTAAACATCGTCAATCGTATGTAAGGAAGCGCATTGGAAGATCGTCGAATAATCTTATGGCTGAAGATTTGAGCGACAGGAAGGAACACATATCGGAGACAGGTTTTGCATAATATAAAAATAACGCGCAGGTTTGACGTCGAAAATGCGCACGCTGTCTAAGCGCAGCGTCGACTAGAAACTTGGACACGTGTGATAATAATAATTATTAGTGTTTTTAATGTATATGGATAACTTCCCGTACTTTCATCAGCAATCCCTCGTATATAATAAAGCAACAAAATAAATCAAAATAGTCATTTTCTTACGTTTTCTGTAATAATGTAGTAAAAATTAATTAGTATCATACGTTCTATATTATCAGTCAAATTCACTTAGATATTATGTCATATAATGTAAAGCGGGACAATTGTTAAACGCCGCGCAGTATGGCCATGCGTCATCTTCATTGAAACAATAATAGCTAATAAATATATACCTTGGTAATGCCCTTGTTTGTGATTATCCAGCTGGTACTGTATAATAATGTTGAATATTCCTCTGGCGTTGGTGGTGAGCGATTGGTAAACGCTCTTCAAGGAGGAAAGCTGCAGTGCACCGCTGCGGTGCGTCATCAAAGAGTTCTCGAACGATGTCTCCTCCTTGTACGGCAGGAAAGTGGTGACGTCCCACCACGTGAAGTTGAATTTGCTCAGTTTCGAATGGTCCCACACTGCAATTGGATTTTACGAATATATTAATCTTTTAATACATACAATAAATCTAATCTCAGCTTTGTCGGGCAAGAAAGTGATAAATTCCCACCATGTGAAGTTGAATCTGCTCAGCTTCCTATTAATCTTTTTATACATACAATGAATCCTATTAAAACTGCGGTAGGGCCACGCAAAAGCGTCCGCTATTACACCAACAGGCAGGTTGCTCCAGATGCCACGGTCTCGCAGAAGACCAGAGGGGCGTGATAAAATATTATTCTTTGCATTTTCGTCTTGTGCCAGGTTAAACTACGAAACGAAATCATTCGCCAGAGAACTAAAGTTACCGACATTGCGCGCAGAATTAACACGCTGAAGTAGAAGTGGGCTGGCCATGTCTCCAGACGTACTGATGGTCGCTGGAGCCGACACGTGTTAGAGTGGACACCACGGTTGGGAAAACGAAGTGTGGGACGGCCTGCAGCACGATGGATTGACGACTTAAGAAAGGTAGCGGGCAGCGGATGGATGTGGGCTGCCCAGGACCGGGATAGTTGGCCCACTTTGGGGGAGGCTTACGTTCAGCAGTGGATGGCAATAGGCTGATATTGACAGGTTAAAGGTTGCCAATGCACCTCCTTTCCTCAGGTGTTGTAGATGATTCTATGGGCATTGGTAATCACTTAAAATCTGGTCAACCGCCCTGCTCGCTTGCCAATTTTCCGCGTAAAAAAGAGTGCGCGTTACGTTTACAACCGACTGACGTGAAACTTTTTGGCGCCGTGGCAATTAGTGTGATGAAATTAAAAGATTTACCGAAATTAACCTCTATGATAGTTTACTAATTTCGCCATTGACGAAAAATATTATAGACAGCTATATTATACTATAGACGGCAGGTTTGTGCTAACAAGTTTAAAACGCAATGTATATATTTTTATTTATTTCATTTAGAAAATATTGGTAAAAACTGTTAGCTCACGTCAGTAAATCCAGAACTAAATGACATATGTACCACAATAGAAAAGGCAATATTTATATGTATTATAAAAGCAAGCACCCAGACACAGTTAATACGGCGAATGGGAAAGTACCACAAATCAAAAATAGGACAAGAATTTGTGTGACATCTATGCATCTGATTGTCCACATACAATATACAATATAGTTTTTAAAACGTCTTCACAACAAAGGATAATATTATTCTAAAGTAAGGGCAATGTTTTCTTGTTTTTTTTTTTAAAGTGTCTTCAAATCAATAAAATAACCACTCTTGAAATTGTTACTACGCTGTAAAGCGTGATAACAATTTTCATTCATTATCATTGGTTATACATTTTATTGCAAAGTAGCATTATTTGTTATGCTTTACAAATTTAATGTCTTTACAGTAACCATTGAGCCGATTGAAGTTCCAGCTCTAAACAAATGATAAATCATAAGTACTTATAAGTTGATTGGCCTCACATAAAAAAAATCTAATATAGAGTAATGGTCGGTTAATTTTTACCTTTTTGTTAAGATAACTTTAGTAAATAAAGATTACGAGTAGTAAGTACCAATGTCTATGCTTCCGGATCATAATCAAACGTCGTAGCACGAAATATAAAGCAAAAAAAATTTGTTTACTTATTTACGCAAGTAAGAAGTAATAGTTCTTTGGCGTGAGAAAAACAAGTTGAATAATAAAATCAAAACATTGTTTGAAAAACTGTCCTTGGCAAAACAGTGAACTCGAGTTTATATGGATATAATATACTTATGCATATATCATGCAAATGTTCAAAGGTAGAGCAAAATTATGAAAGCGCCATCTACATTTTTATTGAGAACTGTCGGGCAATTTACACCATGTTGTTAGCAAATAAATATCGTCCAAATGTCTATGCTTCCGGACCATAGACAAAAGGCGGAACTTACAGAGCGGCGCGTTGATATGGTCTATGGTCGCGATCGTGTGCACGCTGCTCATCCGCGAGAGGCCGGCGAGCGCGGACTGCGCCTTCGCGTTGCGCAGCATCGGCCCATCGATGTTGTGTACGATCAGGAACAGGTCCACTCGGCCCTCCGTAAGCCGCGCGTCGATCAGGGCCAGAGCGTCGCCCACGCTCGACGGCGGCCGCGGTTCGCCCACAATTTCCAGGACCGCTTCCAGAACGTTCCTGATCGTCAGGCTGGGGAAGAAGCCGTTCACGACGACGCACGGCGACCGCCGCAGCCGCTGCGCCTGGAACCCGTTCAGCAGGGCCCGCTTGGAGCCGACGCCGTACAGCATCACGCTGAACTGCTCGCCGAGCGCGTACAGCCAGCGGTCGAATAGCCGCTCGTATGACTGCAGCAGCTCGAGGACTCTGCCCCTGTGCTCGTCCGACACGTACGCCTCCGCGTCGCCAGAGTCCTCTAATGTCATGTTCTTCAGCCTCGCCAGCGTGTGGTCGGACGTAGCTATCTGGAATTGGGAACGGTGTAAGCGAATTTATATGCTGGCTCGAATTTATATGCTGGCTCGAATTTATATGCTGGCTCGTATTTACAACTGTCATTATACAGTATTCCCAAGTAGGTGGATGTTGCCTGTTATGAGAAATGGAGCTCTTATAGTCTAAGATCTGGCTCTGACATAAATTTATGAATAGGAAAATCTAGATTTACCAGAGTGCTCTATCGATGTGACGCTTGCACTTTGAATTAAATAATTTTATTTGGTTTTTCGAAGAAAAAAAACAAGAGAATGTTTTTTGAATGAATGACTAAAAATCACTGTTGCCATTGAGCACTGTATGATTTTGTTATACAAAATACAAAGGTAAATTTTCAATACCTTTTTACTAGAATGCATCATGAAGTAGTTATCGGGTGTAACAACGTATTCTGTATCCTTCGGCTTCACCCTACTTTCCTTGCTTTTGACAATTTTTATTCTCTCCGGCCGTTGAGATTGTTTCGTATCGCTCTCTTCTGCACTTTCGTCTTCATTTTCTGCAGCACTCTCAGAGCCCGATGATGATTCAGACTGTTGAAGATACATGAATAAAATAAAAATAAAGAATTTCTGATATTATTATGATCCAGACAGCAGACTAAAACCTCTTTTTTAAATTAATTAATTTCTGATATTATCATAATCCAATCAGCAGACAAAAACCTATTTATAAAAGAATATATTGATTTAATTAATAATTAATTGGCCTTCCCTTGACGATAAATGCCGCAAATCATTCGAAACGTCGGTGATAAAACATGGATAACTTTATAAACGATTTGTAATATTAATCTCAATAAGAACAATCGTCAATAAACATACAAGCAGATTGCAATTTTGTTTTCATTCAACGCAAGTGTAAAAAGAAAAAGTAAAGAAACAGCCTATTAATGTCCCACTGCTGATAAAAGGCCTCCTCTATATAGTGAGTATTAGGGCATAGTCCACCGCACAACCCTACTGCGGTTTGGCGGATTAACATATTCTCACGATGTTTTCCTTCACCGCTGAGCACTGTAATATTAATAATATTATATATTTATAATTTGTTTATTAATTTATTTTATTTTTTTATGTGAAAACATTGCCAAGCGAGCAGACGGTTCACCAGATGTTAAGTGAATACCGCCGCCCATGGACATCTGCTACACCCGAAGGTCTGTAGATGCGTTGACAACTTTTTTGAAAATTAGGCTCCGGCCACCTCAGTCACCAGACGAAACGCGAACGTATTATACTTTCACTTTACGCCGGTCTTCTGTGAGGTCGTGGTACTTACCCGGACGAGGCTGCCGATGTCGTTAATATTACGTCTCTGAATCGGCAGGAAGGCTAAGTAGCAATAAGGTCATATCATAAGGCCTAAACAGTTTTCTGCAATATGCATTGTTTTAGTGAAGGCGTAGGTCAACTTTATAAGTCAATGAAAAAAGTCATACTTAAGGCCCATTTACACGGTGCCAGTTTCTTGCCTGTTGTATACAATTAAATTGAAGCAATAAATAAGTTGCATGGTCTAAACAACAAATGGTCTAACCAATTATTGCGCGCAATTTATTTCATTCAATTATTGCTCTTGCATGTACAAGAAAATGGCATCGTGTAAATGGGCCTTTATTCATTAGTAAGTATTACGAAACAAGCTATTTCCTTATATAAACTTAACTAAAGCCGTATGGCAAATGAGACAAATGTACTTATCCTTCACTATATAAAAAAAAAATTCTTTCTACCAATCCTTATTAAAATGATACATTTTTACTTTTCTTCGACGGACGCATTTTGTATTATGTATTGACAAACTTCGTATCGCTTCGGACTGACTCCTAATTTTTTTTTAGGGCTGGATGAGCCACTGTTGGCCTTAGGGACCTTCACAGTTCCGACGGGCTTGAGGTGGGCTGGCGCACGAGGCGCCTAGCCTGAACCTCGCCCGTATTATTATTACGCGTTATGGTGACTAAGCTCGAGGGCTCCCGGGGGAGCCTCGGCTCGGACCGTCACGCTATTATTATCACCGGTTTGGGAGGCCGCCAAGCTCTTGGGCTCTGGGCGCTTTGGCGGGCGCTCCATGCAGTGATCAGGCTCAAGAGTCCCCGAGAGGGGACCTCGGCTTGGGCTGTCACTCGACACGCATTTAGCATTCCGATTCGAGGGTGCCCTTGAGGGCCGGACCTCGGCTCGATCGGTAGCTATTATCTGACTGGGGCTCCTAGCCACTGTCGCAGTATTTATATCGGCGCGGACAAAGTCTCGAATGTTGCAAAGTACCAAACTAATGGTTTGTAAGCACGCCGCTAAACTCGCCACGCGAATATATAGAATGTTCAGAGTGAATCAAAAACGGTCGCACTTCGTGGCTTTTCTTTGGCAAGACTAAACACAGAAGCATACTTGCACTTTACGCCGGTATTTCGTGAGGTCTTAGTACTTCCTCGGATGGAACTGCCCATTCGTGCAACAGGCAAGACTGTTGCATGGCCCTACCACAACGAGACCAAGCATTTTAATAAAATTTGAATACATTGCGATCATAAGTACATGAAACTTTGAATCAAATTTTTGTAGATATTTGAACAAAAAATAACGGTGCTGCTGGATTCGAACCCGCGTCTTATGGTTTCAAAAATAGACGCTTTACCAATAAGCGGCCGATGACGAATTTTTAAGAATGCTTGGCGCCCTCTAGTGTGCGTGCTTGACATCACAATACCTTACAAAGATGAACATTTCTATCGAAAGATATCGCCATTGCTCCTAAATTTTTAGGACTATTCTTAGCACTAAAATTAATTAAAAATTAAATTAAAACAACATGAGGGGAATTCGCTACTTCGTATACTACTGTGAAAAGTGTTTGGCAGAATGCAAGCGTGCGCGAGACAGCAGCACAAGTCTGATAACTTGGATTATATAATCTTGGTGACAGATTACTATCAGTCGAGTAACAAAGGCTCGCAATTTTCACGACTTTCGTTGTTCCACATGTTTCGTTAAAACAGATTTGTGATCATGAATGAATAAAACCTCGGTTCACCATTGCACCCCAATATGAAAACAACATTCCAAGCAGTGGAATTTGTTGAACAGTCGGTTCAACAAAGGAAACAAAGGCAATATTTTCGGGATGACAAGGTCGTGGTGAAATCCTTGCAAAACACGATTAGTGCTCCCTTTTACGCGAAGAAATCACAGATAATCGCTAGCTTATTGCTAAGAAAGAAACTGTTGGACCCTAAGGAGGGTATAATAACATAAATTCACAAGTCGTAATTGTGGTCGTATTAATTGTTACTGTCGGACCGGACGGACGGGCTGTCCGGGTAAGTACCGACCTCAGACAAGACCTGTATGAAGTCGAAGTGTCATACTTCTGTGTTTCTGGTGAGTGAGGTAAGCAGAGCCCATATTAAAGGTTGTCAACGCAACTGCAAGCACTCAGGTTTGTAATGTCCATGGGCGGCGGTAAACACTTAACATCAGGTGAACCGCCCGATTGCTTGACACCTTTTTATATTAAAACAAAATCCGACTTATTCACCTGATTTGCACCTTCTCACTTTCATCTGTTTCTTAAGGTAAAAAAACCTTTGTGGATACAAAATTTTGTTGAATGAAAAGGCCTAAGCTGCGATAAAACGCTTTTTTGGAGACCGATATTTTATAAGAGCGGCGTAAAAACCTTGGAAATCACTAAGTTATTAAGATTATTTCCGTAGTTCAAGCATTTTAAACTTAGATACTGTTAGTTATTGTGGCTGGACATGCTGCTACCATTACTAATCGAGCTTGTCATAACTGTATAAGATTACAAGGAAAGATTAAATAAAATTAAACATACCTCATCATCACTCTTTTCGGGTATGAAATCGCTACTACTGCCATCAGAGAAATCACTTTCTGCACTTTCACTTTCCACTTCACGAATTATTCCTGGAAAGTAACAAATTAAACAATATTAAATACTAACTAAATTATATGTTATCTAACAATCCTAGTCCAGGCAGATGCAAGAACGCATAGCGGCAATGGCTACAGTGAAAAAAAATTGAAAGTACATAATTAATATGCTTTCATTTACAATATAATTTTCTGTCCATATTTCATGTAATATAATTTTAATGCAAATTTCATCAAAACCTCGTTATATAGAAAAGAGTCAGAATGATTTAATATTTTCATACGGTGGTAGGCCCACGCAGCAGCCGGATGTTGCATGAATGGGCAGGCCCGTCTGGTGAGTGAGGTAGCCGGAGCCCAATTTCGAAAAGGTTGTCAACGCATCTATAAACCTCGGGTGTAGCAGATGTCCATGGGCGGCGGAATCACTTACCATCTGGTGAACCGTCTGCTTGTTTGGCAATGTGCTCACATAAAAAAAAATTATAAATATATAATATTATTAATATTACATATATACAGCGTCTCTTTACCATCGCGACAATAAATGAACACACATATAGAAGATAACTTTTTAACATTGTATTAAATATTTACATTCTTTAAACATCAATATTTACAGAGTTATCAAATTTTCCAAAACAAAGAATTTTAGAACACCCTTACATATAAAACTGTAACGTAAAGTTCATTTGTAAAGATCACAAAGCATATGAATGGGATGAATGAATTTAAAAGAGACAAAACATACTGTTAGAAGGAGAGGCTTGTAATGCGACGCTGTGGCGCGAGTTGTATAGGATGTTACAAATTTAATTTTTTTTACTTAATTAGTTTGTTTGAAAAATATTTTTTTTTAAATTATGGATTTTGTTTAACGTTAATATTTTTTTATTATTATTGGCAAGTAGCGATAGACGTGTGTCCATTTATTGTCGCGATGGTAACGACAAGCTGTATAATACTAGCTGACCCGGCAAACATTGTTTTGCCATATAAATTATTTGTAGGGTAGAAAAAAATGTTTGAGGTGGACCACCCTTAACATTTAGGGGGATGAAAAATAGATGTTGTTTGCTTCTCCACCCTGGCCAATATGCACACAAAATTTCATGAAAATCGATTGAGCCGTTTCAGAGGATATCAATTACAAACAACTTGACATAAATTTTATATATTAGATTAATATGACATATGTATATAGTGATAGTAAGGAAAATTTAACAAATTATATTATAAATAAAAAATAGACTATGAACAAAAAAATTTACTTACTTTTTTTCATCTTATCTGTTACATGTTTAGGTGTTGCTGCAGAAGTTCTTTGTAAATTAGCCAATGCTTTGATTTTTTTAGGGGTATTCATAGGAGAGTTAGAAGCTATTGGTGAATTACTAATTGCTGTCTTGACTATATTGTGCAGGCCATTCTTAGTATGTCTAGATTTGAACTTAAAAATATCTTGACCGTCTACATCATCACTGCAGAATAAAGCTAGAAGTACATTTATTATAATTTAAAACAATTAATGAATTTATGTTCTATGATTAAAGTTTTAGGGTGATAAGAATTATGACCAGTTAAATGCTAGCAAAGATTTTAATGTGATATAAAATTGTATTGCACGGCAATAATATTTGAATTACTTGCAAGCGTGATGAACACTGTCTGTATCACAGGTTGCTCAAAAACTAATTTAATAATTTCGTCGAAAACGCGGGCCTACGCTTATGACAGTTATGATATAGAATTGACACTCAACCTGTAGGTTTTTCTAAGCATGAGTGTTTACTTTCATCTTCTTCAGAACTTTCGTAATCGACTTTGCCTCTTCTTTTTACTGGCGATAAATCTATAAAGTCACCATATTTTTTAACTTTGTGGCGTACCCGAACACTTCTTTTAGGCGTTGCTGTAAGATTTTCTTGACTTTTATCTAAAATGTAAAAATAATTCTAATTATTTATAAAAAATGATAACCATTTCTCATCAGCATTACTGTTTTTCTACCGGATTCGGCGGACTCTTCCTCAGTTTCTGGGTCATAGCGAATGCGACGTCCACTGGACATATTATTTTTCAAATACAAATGTAAGTCTATGTATATCTTTAAAATAAGCAATAAATTAGGTAAATTAAATTGAAATGTAAACTTCTAGCCGCCAATATATTTGTAATACAAGTGACATATAGCAATTATTATTTTTTGTCTATGGTGCCTCGGGCGCGGATCTGAAAATATAGTCATTGAACAATTATAAGTAAAATTTATTCATTTTTATAATAAAAATCAAAAATGTAATAATTATTTATGGTGTTTCAAATCCGGGAATTTATTTATGCGTATATAAAAAGAAATTTGCTTGATAAGTGTTCTGACACTAAGGTAGCTAATGTAAAAGTGTAAAGTTGTGCTTGCCAATCGCAAAACAATGCAGATGTCTAAAAGTACTCATATATATATATATATATATATATATATACGTAAACATAGATATTAAATATACATATACATACACATTTATATCTGATGATGTCATGAAATTGCTGGCAATTTCCCTAGAATGTACTTGCGTGCCATTTTCTTAGATCAAGCGATCTCTAAAATAACCACATTCTTATAAGCATAAACAAAACAAAAACCACATTCAAAATACAAGAAATATAATTAAGATAGGCTTTGTGAGATTTACACAAATTTCAATTTATTTGACGGTATAAGTGCTAATGAAATAAAAAAAAATTATGTGCATGTGCATGTAGTATAAAAGTTTACATGCACATGGTGTTTTGCACAAGTTTGGCTATGTCCATAACGCTTTTGGGAAAACAAATGCACAACAAACACGTCCTTTGCAGATTGGTCTAAGTCTTCGTCGTCAACTTCATTATTTTCACTCGCAAAATTGGAACGGGTTGAACTTGCTCGTGTCAAATAGTTTTAGACACTTTATCAAAATTATTTACAAAAGATTCCAGTTATTTTAATAGCCTTGGTTATTAACAATCCCATTTTGGTTAATTTCATAATCTAATGTATGAATTTGAATATAATGGCTTACGGCCGGTTTCAATATTCTATTAACAGATAGATTTGGTTACTGGAGATAGGATTTTAACGTATGTATTATGGAGCTCGTGTCAAATACCTATGCGATTTCGATAAAAATCGAGAAGTGACACCTGGAAAGTGAGATCAGCGGCGGATTTACTAGCAGGCTAAGTAGGCTAGAGCCTAGCATGACAGATTTTAGGGCGGCAAATACGGCCCAAAATTTTCACTAAATCGTAAGTTGTAAAAATAATCTAGAAACTGACACAACGAAACCCTAGGTTAAAATTGTGCTATATCGAGAAAAACCTGATGTAATGAAAACGATCAAAAAAAGATCTTACGAATAAAAATTTTTCAATTTTATTGACTGTATAAATAAATGTAACTATTATGATTGCGAACTAGGGTATCGAATTTCAGAGGTCTGGAGAGGCAACAAAAATTGAACAGCCTATTGGCGGCATTGTAAATCCGCCTCTGAGTGAGACCCCGAGAGGCTGACATGGGGATGTCTGCCGCTCAGTATAGGACTCGTGAGGGGTGCTTTGGCAGTGTCGTAGTACCTAAGGAAAGAAGGGCTAAAACGTCATGGGGACGATTGAGTTATCAAGTTTCCGCGTCCCCATCTGCTGAGACAGGTGCAATGTACTCCACATTGGAATTACTCCACATTTAGTTGGAACCGGTTCTGACCGGAACAACTGTATACTGGTGCCACTCCCCTGATCCGGGACAAAGGATCCATAACAATTCGACAGTACCTGTCGTAAGTCGGAACGACGATGAGCTGAGAATATGTATATTTGGAATAAGGCAACGAACCCAAGGGGGCAGCAGGTGGCTGGCCTTTGGACAAGGAGGGATTTTTAAAAGTGAACTCTTTCTTCAATTATTATAATTTTTAACAAAACAAAACCGACTTTAAACCCGAAACTAAAAAACATTGTTAATAACTATAACATTCGAGGATTGCCCTCGATTTCTCTGGGATGCCATCATCAGATCCGGGTTTCCTTATCATTGTAACATCCTTGGGATATCGCCTTTCCAACAAAAAAGAATCATCAAAATCGATTCATAAAAAACAAAAATATCCGTGAACACACATAAAATAAATATATAAAATATAATATATATATATAAATATAAATATATATATTTATTTTATGTGTGTTTTATGTTTTATGGCATTCGTGACATCGCCCTCAATCTCATTGCCTCTTACCTTAATAATAGAGTTCAAAAAGTATCTATAAATGATGTAAATTCCACAGGGTCCCCCATGAAAATGGGTGTCCCACAAGGATCAATCTTGGTCCATTATTATTCTTAGTGTATATAAATGATCTCCCCTTTTATGCCAGTGAGTTATGTGATATTGTACTGTTTGCTGACGACACATCGCTCATTTTTAAGGTTGACCGAAACGTGTCGGATTATGACGACGTGAATAGTGCACTTTCGCGTATCCTCCACTGGTTTACCGTTAATAATATGGTGTTAAATGCTAAAAAAACTAAATGCCTTCTTTTTACACTTCCCAGCGTAAGAAGGCGAATTTTTAGCTTAACATTAAATAGCGTAACCCTTAATCCTGTTGAGTCCGCTGTATTCTTGGGAATTACAGTGGATTCAAAGCTCCAATGGAGTCCCCATCTATCATCTCTTGCGAACAGGTTAAGCTCCGCTGTTTTTGCAGTTAGGAAGGTTAGGCAGCTATCAGACATCGACACTTGTTTATTTCAGTTATTTCCACAGTATCTTGTCTTACGGCATTTTGTTGTGGGGTAGTGCATCTGATATAAATTCTATATTTATTCTTCAAAAAAGAGCTGTCCGAGCAATCTATAACATCGGAGCCCGGAATACACTCAGAGACCTTTTTAAAGAGATTAATATACTCACTGTTGCGTCTCAATATATTTATTGTAATATTTTGTATGTTAAACTGAATATTAATAATTATCAAAAGAATAGTGACAGACATAAACTAAATACTCTAGAAATAAGGACAAACTAACTACGCCATTGTTTCGTTTACAAAAAGTAAACAGGTCGTTCATGGGGCAAGGTGTGCGCATGTATAATAAAATCCCACAGTCGATATTAAGTCTGCCACTTGATGAATTTAAACGAAAAATTAAAAGTAAACTTATGGCTAAAGCCTATTATTCTATTGCTGAATATCTTGACGACGCCAATGTGTGGGGTTAATACTGTTGATACTCACGTAGGCTAAAACAAGACTATTGTACATGTACTATTATATTGTAAACTGATTTTTTTTTAAAAAGAGCAACTGTTGAGTTTCTTGCCGGTTTCTTCTCAACAGAAACTGCTTTCCGAACCGGTGGTAACTTAAGAAAGTGTTCATTTCTTGTAAAATTTTGACGTTTCATAAGAACGCGCAAGCGTCTATGTGAATAAAGATATTTTATTATTATTATAATATTGGGGGGATATTCATTTGTTTTCTCGTCTGGTTGGGTTTATAAATAATAAATAAAAATAAAGATATAGATATATATTGCATATATAAAATAAATATTATGGATAAAAATAAACATATATATATATATATATATATATATATATATATATATATATATATATATATATATATATATATATATATATATATATATAAATAAATATTTTATATAATACATATATAAATAGGACCCAACCAGACGGAAGCCCTCGGCAGGGGAGACCAAACGGCCGAGGGTTAGGGCGAAAGGGAGAGAAACCGGCGGACGATGCGGGCGGTATCGAGGAGCACCGCCTTCTGCATTTGAGCCTGGAGCGATCCGTCCCGGAGTCCCAGTCGCCTCAGATGTTTAGAGAGGCTGACTGGGATCAACCCATTCGCAGACACGACTATCGGGATAATTTCGGTCGGCACACCACCCCACATGTCGGTCACCTCGTGAGCCAGGTCCAGATACTTCGTCTTCTTATCTGTTTTTTCGGCTTTCACGAGGTTCTCGTCATATGGAATGGTAATGTCGACCAAAAATACCCGCGACTGTGCCCGGTCCATCAACACGATATCAGGTTTGTTCGCGACAATTGTCCTGTCTGTGATGATGGACCGGTCCCAATAGAGCCTGGCGCGGTCATTTTCGAGCACGGCCTCCGGAGAGTACTTATAATACGGCAGTTTCCATTCCACGAGGCCGTATTTCAGAGCGAGCTCCTGGTGTAGGATTCTGGCTACTAGGTTGTGTCTATGCAGATACTCAGAGTTAGAAAGCATGGAACAACCGGAGATAACATGCCGAAGCGACTCCCCGGGATGGCGACAAGCTCGACAGATGTCGACGGTGCCATCCTTTAGGATGTATCTCCTATAGTTGTTCGTCTTAATAACCTGATCCTGTATCGCACAGACAAAACCTTCGGTTTCCCCAAAGAGGTCACCGAAACGTAGCCAGTTATTATTATATTATTATTATTATTATTATACGGCCGAAATGAGAAACCTTCTTTTTTAAAGTCAGTTAAAAAACAGATCCACATAACGTGGATAAGCTTCGATGGTTCTGTTAAAAACGAGATTGACTTCATTTTGACGAACAACGAATATTCAATTGTCTTTGTGATCGCAAGGGTGAAAACCGGAAGTGATCGCCGATTGGTGGCACATTGAATATTGATATTACTCGTGAGCTGGAAAGATCTCGTCTGATGAAGTCCATACTCCGTCCATCTCGTGCCCATATCCCAAACTCCAAAAGTTTTCAGCTCAAAATACAAAATCGGTCGCTATCAATGCCTGGAAAATTTCAGCACGATGAACGATTTAACGTAGAACGTAGCCCACGAAATGGACTGTCCAAAGGACAAACAGAACCCAAATGCTCTCCGATCACACTCATGACCTTCTTGAAAAAAGACGTGAATCGGTCCATCGTCCGTCGGTTTAAGCTAACGCGGGGCCTGTATTTTTTGAAAAAGCTCTGCTATGGGTATATGTTTATGAAATTATTCAAAAAATTATTTAGACTGTTAATCTTATATAAAATAGATAATTTTTAGTGTCGGCAAGAGTTTGCATACGTCAGACTTTTTGTGTAGCTGATTAATGGGCCGATTAAAATTCTACGTTTATACAAGCAACTTTTTGTAGAACTTGTGCGTTTACCGTAGTTGTAGCGTTTCACGTTTTTGTGACATCAAGTAAATTTAATATTCTTTCATTCATCCTTATAAGTTTCACTCAAAAAATTTCGCTCAGGCAGAGATGGGTGTTTAAATATGCGGAGCCCGTAGCAATTGCTACTCTTGTTACGTGATTAATCCGGTACTGTGTGCATCAGGTCCTTTCTTTCAGTTTTAGGCGAATTCTTGTAGATTAAAATAAAATGTCTGTTTTTACAATGCATTAAGACAATGATCTTTGCATTAACTTTGTTCAGGAGTAAAAATAATATAACAAACATATTTATAAATCTTGCTTGGCATTATATGAAAAAGTTAAGCGTTTTGCCCTGCAAAGAAGTTAGACTTGCACACTACGCCTACAGGTAGGAGTCTACATTACTGAAGTTTCTGCACTCTTCTAAAGCACAGGCATTAAGTGCCATTAAATCATGTTCGAAATAATTCTTATATCTTCGTCAAATATAATCTGATTTTCAAGCTTTAAGTATTTAAAATTTAATTTATCTAGGTATAATAATCATAATGTAAAACAAGCACTGCGGTATCCATGAACTAATGACATATTATAGCAAAAAGACAACCTTATATTTAAAGCAGTTTTATTGTTATAAATTTTGTTAAACTAAACAAATGAAGAGGTATAACTAAGTATTATTACAAAAAAAACTAAAATGTTTTAAATATTGTATGGAAGTGTAAAGGCAACATAAAATTATTAAAGAAAAAAAAAGTATTAGAGTATGTATTCATGTTTAACTAAACTAACTACATTACTTTTCAATCTGAAAATGGTAAGTGGTACAAAATATTTATAAATAAAAATATAAAATTTTACATCATTTCATTTATTTGCTCAACTTATTGACAATTTCGAAAATCACAGTTATTATTTCTGACAATTGTTTTTGTAACTATCATATTACATGACAACAGCTGCCAGTTATGTAAATGGGAAGTGGGTACAAAATGGTAGTTTATAAATATTAATTTTATTGGCCACAGTATATTATTACTAATGTAGGATAATAGTAAATGGGAAAAATGTTTATTTGAACGAATAGGTAAGAAATTAGGTGTTTAGTAAAAAGTGAAGGATATATTAAAAACATGTAATTTAAGATGAAATAACACTTTTATTAAAATCAGGTGAAGTGAGCAAAAATGAAGAGTAATTAAAATGTTCGACTAGCTCTTATTGAAAAGTAAAGAAAGCAAAAAACCAATGATGAAGATATTTCATAAACATAAAATATATACATATATAGAGAAAGGCAATTTTCAATTCAATCAAAACAAAAAGCATGTGTTTGTTTAACCTATGGAAATTTGTAAGAAAAATCACAATAAGTCATTGGAATAACACCTATAGTTACAATAAAATAATAAAATGGTGTCACCTGTGATACCACTTACAATTTATTACTTAGAAATATTTAATGGTGGGATCATAGCTCCTCTATATACAACACCAACAATTTCAATATACTTATTACAAACACTCGAGTCACCTACAGCTTCTAAATGTCACATAGCCTTGTACATAATGTTTGCATTCTGTTGCAATAGATTTCTACTTCAATCTTGGTTTTAGATTTCATTTGCCGACATTCCTGTACAAAACAATATGACATATCTTTACATAGATTTATTGCATTCAATTACCATACTACTTTCAAGTATGATCAAAAAGTGCTACTTTAAAACCTCTAACTTTCCAATATTACTCACTTTTCACAGGACTGATAAACACCAATGTCTTCTCACAATACATTGTAAATTACATTATGAAACTATGAATTTTTTTCTTTATAGAGTTTGCCAAATAACTATTTGATCATATTTTCTGCGATTAAATACTTCATGACAATGAAAGTTCATTTTAAATATGAGGTTACATTGAATATACATATGAATAATTTACATTTAAAATAACCATAAGAGAAAATTCACAGAAACGACATACAATAAAACATTATAATCCGTGGCCTACATCAAAAACTACAACGCGCAAAAAGCGTCCAGCTTCGTAACGTACACATTAAAAGTAATCATTTAAAAAGCAGTACCACTAAACGACAAAAAATATTAGGATCGAATATCGTCTTGAGATCAATCATAGTAAATGAAAGGGATGAATCCTCGGATTCAAAACTTATCTTAAGAACACATCCATCGACCAACACTCACAGTTTTCATTTCACTGTGTTTATCCTATATAGTAACATTATGGTTAGCCGACGTGGAAATCGCAACTCGTGCCGTGTGCTTTACAATCAATCTACTGCCGTGCATGATGGAATCCATTTATTCACAACAAACATAACGCATTGGTTACAAACTATACCAAACCAACATTTATATTACAGTTTCACAGCTAGGACTATTCGTTGAGTGATATTCGGCTGTGTTAATATTAAACTCAGTAATCACAAAGTTTTAACCTCAATCTCAGCGCGTTTCAAACTGCGTTCACGCTGCCATTCGAGGCCGCTTGCGTCTCAGTTTCACAGTACATAAGCTCGGCGTCTTACAAATACGATAGGAATCACGAGTCACCAGGGAGAAACTCATCCGGCGTAGAGAAAGTGCCTCGAGCGTTAACAGTCACGTCACTGGCGGGCGCTTTTGCACAACTGTCACGTCATTGGCGGGCGCTTTTGCACAACTGTCACGTCACCGGCGGGCACTTTAGCACTGCTGTCACGTCACCGGCGGGCACTTTAGCACAGCTGTCACGTCACGGCGGGCGCTTTAGCACAGCTGTCACGTCACCAGCGGGCGGTCGGCGCGCACTCAGTCCGCGTAGTAGTGGAAGGGCCGTGTTCCGCGCGCGTCTTTGGTATTGCGTGGGGCGTCGAGCGGGCCCTAGGCCTGCTTCACCCGTTTGCGGGGCGGCCCGATGGGCGGGATCTGCTGCTGCTGGGTGGCGAGCGCGCGGAACGCCTCCGCTATCAGGTGCGGGTGCGACGAGATCATGTTCTTCCAGCCGGCCGTGTCCATGACGTCCGTCGCGTGACTCCTGAAACACGGCCAACGCACACTAAAACTGATGTCCGACAATCGCAGTGAAGGTTCGTTCAAAATGTATTTATTTCTATAATTATTCGTTTTCAAATGTTTAAAAATGTCATTAATATGATACTTTAGATAAATTCTTTTTTGTAAAGATTTAAGGAGGTATTTTATATCTAATAGGTATGTAGAGAACCGTGATAGCTCAGTGTCCGGAGTTCAAATCTCAGTATCGACACGAATGAAATAATTAATTTTAAGTGCTGACGTATCACGTGCTTAGCGGTGAAGGAAAACATCCTAAGGAAAGCTGGACATTTTCGAAATAATATCAAAAAGAAATATTACAAAGATACGTGAAGTTCGCAAATCCGCAGTGGATTCGAGTGGTGGACTACGCCCTAATACTGTCTATACAGAGAAGGCTTTTGCTTAGCAATGGTATATTTATAGGGTATACATAGGGTATACATTTAATGTTACTAAACACCTATAGATTGCACACGATACTGAACAATTGTGCCAAAACACGGGTGATTTTAAACATAATTTCTTATAGTTTTTAATACACCCGCACATACTTAAATGACATACAATGTCATTCTTCCTTCACGTATCGTATTACAAACGGAGAGGATCGCCTACGGAAATTATAACACAGATATGAGGGACTGACGTGTTAATGAAGTCGATGGTTTGCGCCTTGAGTTGATCGGCCGAATGTAAATCGGCCAATATTAACGTGTCAGCTGCAGTCTCCACCGAAAGGCTCAAGCATAGAGCTTCTTCGCACATCACTTTTAATCTATCCAGCGCGTACTGAAACAACAACACCAAAATTAGAAGATTAGCAATCGCACTACACAATATTATTTTAAAATTCCAAGATCATTGGGGTATATTACAACCAAAAATGTTTTGTTATAAAACAAGATAATAAAATGGCGCAGATATCTTGAACTGTTTATTAAAAATATCATTTATAGTGAGCCAAAATACCTTATCGGCCGCTGCTAGTAAATCGTCGGCCATTTTGTCCAGATTTGGCGCGCGGTCTGTGTAAATGAAACGCAACATCTCCCTCAGCACTTCATGGTCCACGTCGGTGATATCCACTCTATTTCTTTTCCTTTCCTCCATTTCGTGTTCAAACATGGCCGCAAACACAGGACTTCGCGCTGGAAAGGAAATAATAAAAATTAAATTCATGGAAAACATGTGTGTATTTTTCGACGCATGTTGCCAGTATTACTACATATTATAAAAATATTTTTATTATACAAAAGAAAATTATTGTAATTAAAGCTCAAATGAGCGTTCGTTTCCGCATAACAATAAAATTTACATTAATAATAATGAAGTCGTTATAAATAATAATCAGTTACTACAATGTTTCTAATTCGAATCACTATGTTATTGTACCATAAATGTGTAAGAATAATAATGTTTTTGTATAGCTTTATATTGAATTTATTTAAAAACCTTATACGGAATTTCCACGTACGCCTTAACCCGTTTATGGGTTTACTGTTATTTAGTGCGTCATGTGTAGGTGTCTAAATTTAACAATGTGTCAGCAAATTAATAATAACTACTGCGCAATTTATTTTCCGCAGTATAACACGCACTGTACGTGTTCTGTATATTGAAACAGACAATTGTTTTGTTTACACGACAATTGTGGCACTTTTCGAAAATCAAAACATCAACTCGAGATATTATTATAAAGAGATATGCGTGATAAAATGCACACTTAGTGGTTATAGACATTTAAAATAGCGGAATTATCCAATAGTTACTTTCAACGTGTGCTGCCATAAATGGAGACTTCACATAGTAAAACAATCTAAAATATTAAGTTTAGGAAACGAGAAATCCGTATAAGTATTAAGATGGTCGTTGTATATTGAACGGGGAAAAGAAATCAAAGTAATTAAAAATGTTAAAAATTTAACAACAACTTACTAACGTAGCTTCCTGTGCAATTAAAGAAACAACCATACATTAAAGTCATTCAATATGAATCGTAATGGAAATGAGGTTATAAAAGTAGGTAGAAGTCAAAAATGCCTCATTGACCTTTGTAAACTTTATATAAACAAACAGACTTTCATCGTCGGGTGATCGATAGCAACTTTCTAGGTTGGAGGTGAGCAATTAACTAATTAACGGCGGTTATCAATAAATTAAAATAAATTGTGGTTATTTTTAATAAAATCTTTATCGATGTAGATAATGTGGACATATATAACTTGTATATAACTTGTATATATAAATATATACAAGTTATATATGTCCATATTCTCATGGACAAATTTGTTCCTTGTATCTAGTGTAATGAAGTTTCAACTGGCTGTTTAGTGGCTTTTCATAACATCTTTGGATTCAAAACCTTTGTTTTGTATAACGCCATTGTCACAATACTTCAGAAATTTTTGTCTATTATTAAGTACACCGGGCTAACTTAACTTTATAGCAAGGTAGAGTTCTAGAACGAATCAACTATCAAGTCGTAAAAATATATTCTTCGTATACATTATTATGTTAGGTTATGAACTATATTCTTCATTAGTGAGTTTACTATAATTATAGCTGTACGTTAATATATTGTTGGAACATTAGTACAGTAGAGACTGATGAACTTTTGATCTAGTGCTAATTCGAAGGTAAAGTAATCGGCTATCCACTCCATGCTGCGTGCATTGCATATTAGAATGACAGTGACAAGTACCTTGCTTGGGGGTTAGCTAGATTTTTTTTTATATTAGCGGAGGGGCTACACGAACAGTGCGGGTGCGGAGTATCGCTGTCTCATTCGCGCCGTAGTCCAAATCGTTTTCCGTCTCCTTCCTACGGCTATATGACAATACTGTTGCGAGCAGCATTATATTGGATATCCGTGAATATACGTTTTTCCGATTATTGATAAGTTATCACTTGGTACCAACTTAGAAATTGTTCCTCACGCTTGTCTTCAGGCACTTCATAGATAGTCATGTCGCTAACGCAAAATGTCAAGTATTACGAAAGTTGACAGTGGTGGGGATACGGAGAAGTCTGCTGTGGCACGAATGGGCAGGCCCGTGCGGAGAAGTCCCACGACGTCAAAGAAGATCGGCGCGAAGATGAGGTGTTATACTTTTGCATTTCGCCTCGTGAGTGAGGTAACCGGGGCCCGTAAGTAACGCATTGGACGGTGTTTTTTTTTTAGAAGTCATATCATTGTTTACACTATATTGTTACAGCAAAAAGCAAAACAATAGGTTTAGTGTAATAATTAGTTAAGGTTATCATTTAAAAGAAACGCAAACTCAACTGCCATATTCCGACATAAAAAAAGACGTGTATGTAGGTACTTAGGTATATACGCACCAGATTAGTTATACTTAGCGTAATAAAATAAGAGAAACAATTATCCCGTGTGCCAGTACTTATTGTTTGTGAAAAAACAAAAGACATTCAAGGACTTCGATAACTTTTGAATTATAGGTAAATGACAAAGTTGTTATTGGTTGCTATGGTAACAGCATGACGATGGTTCCGCTAGTAGGTCGTTGCGCATCGTAAAATACTACCACTATTTTTCCCAAGAGCGCCAAAAGAACTAAGTTCAACACAAAAACAAACGACAAATACACTTTTAAAGGATGCGCGTAGGCACTACTCACCCGCCAGGATGGCCTTGTGCGCCTGGAACTCCCTGCCGCCTACGGCCAGGGTCACGTCCGAGAAGCGCTCGTTGTCAAACAGCGCGCCCAGGTCGTCGGAGAGCCGGCACTCGGGCACCTTGAACTGCACCACGTTGCTCTGCCCGCTGATGTTGATGCTGTCCGCCACAACGGACACCTCGCAGAATATCGTCAGCTTGTCCTCGGGCAGCAGGCCGTTCGCCTCGTCCAGCAGGAAGTCTCTGGAATGTTCGACATTTGCGTATATAATGTTAAATATGGTGGGGCCACGCGACAGCGTTCGTTGTTGCACGAATGGGTGGGTAGGTCCGTCTGTTTAAGTACCACGACCTCACGGAAAACCGAAGTTTTACACTTCTACGTTTCGTCCGGTGGGTGAGGTAGCCGAGGCCCCACTTTATTGAAAGATGGAAACGCTTCTGTAACGCAAAGTGTTGCAAATGTCCATAGGCGGCGGTTATCACTTAACATCAGGTGAACCGCGAGCTCGTTTGCCATCTTCTCACATTAAAAAATGTATATATATAAACGACACGTCACATACCGGACGATCGTTTTTCATTGGTTGTTTTGAGCAGAAGGTTATCTGTTGTTAGTACAGTTGTAAAATTTGTGGACAATCGAGTAAGGTAGAAGCGACAGATGCTTCTTCGAACGATAGAGCAAATACTTTAAACATAATAGCTTTCTAAACCTGTAATTATTTCAATAATTTTATAAAAACTAAATATAAATGTTCCATGGACAGTAGTTGTACCACTTTGAAATCATAACGACATAACATTGTAGATTAGTGAGTACCGTCCACATTATTGTATCTCTCGAAGAATCTGAGTAATGTACAAATTAATTATTTTTGTTGACATTTATGACTCGTTTTTTTACATTTTTATACTAAATTTTTATAACCTCAAGATGAAACATTTAAATTTTTAGAAAAAAATGGACGAAGTTTTGTGTACCGTAAAGGACGCATTGCTTAAAATGCGATAAAACAGTGTAGATAAAAGACGTTGAGATTTTCGTCGGAATCAGCAGATTAGCATAGTGGTTCAAGCGTCTTGGCGTTATTCCGGAAGACGCAAGTTCGATTCCCCGGCAGTGAAGAATCTGTCCCTCTTTTCTACAATTTTTTTTTGACTCGATTCTTACTTGAGAAGAATAAAACATCTGCTCGGGGAGTCCCAAGTTCGTTTTCCCCTCATTTATATATAAATTTTTCAAATAAATTAGTAGGAGATTAATTATTGGTATTCCGCAAAATAAGTTCTTTAGTTTTCTGGCCAGGCGACAAACCGTATGAAGAATGGCTACAGTACGGAATTTTATGTTTAACCTTTAACATGTTTTTTGAACACGATTAAAAATCAAGCTCAATATAATATTGTTCGATTCGCGTCCAAGTCCGTTCCGTTAACGACTAAGGTTAAATGGCGATGACATAATTTTATAGGAGCATACGAGGTGCGCATTTCATAGTGCCATAGAAGGCACCAAACGCCGACTCATTTCCGGCATTGTCCACTCACTTTAGAGACAACCGACGCATTGTTTCAGGGCATTGATAGAAAAATATGATTAACAATTTTCGAAACATTGTTTGATATTATTTGTTACAAATAAACATGAATGTATATTGAAGGCATGTGCTGCTTAAACAGCATAACAGAGTACTAACGTATTTCAGCGAGCGTCTTACGCGCAGAAAAAATATACTATGGTGTTTTCATATGATCTTTTACGATAGTATATTAATCTATGACATTTAGGATTCGCTTTTAACCAACCATTGTTTGAAATAATAAACTACCGTTTAAAATAAAATTATACATTCGAGCTGTAGAAATATGTCCTTGGTAACAATTTAAATGAAACATTTACCTTCTAATGAACTTTTTGAAGCCCCAGTCTTTGCCTTGAACAAATCTGTACGCTCGCTGCGACTCCATAGCCTTTGTCTCCTCCCGCTTCGCGTTCAATATTGAGAATTTGAACTTTGCCCGCACTTCTGATTTGTTACACGACACTAATAATAAATATAACGATAGATAGTCTTTGCTCTCCTCGTCGAGACCCTTCGGGTTGACGCGGAGACACCATTTTAACTTGTCACTAGCACCCGCCGAGAAAGTCGATGATTTTAACACTTCACCCATCTCTTCTCTACAGAAACTAAAATTGTTTATTGTCCACATATAACTAAATTTCACCACCTTTACCTGTAACAATTAAAAACAATTTAGAAAATCATTCGATAGCAAAATTATTTTCTCAAAGCATATTTTATACTATTTAAAGTTTTTTCGTATTTGTTATTGTATATTTCTAACCAAACACAATATAACAAATAAACATGACTCTAGTCTTCTAAAAACTAAATTTGGACAATAAAAAAACGAGTAACGTTTACATGTCTACTGGTTCTAGGCTCTTGTTTTAGGTGCAACCTGGAAAACTTTTATTTGGTAGTTACACAGCGATATGTATTTGTCTAAAATGATACACAATATTAAACTTGATAATAAATCCTATTTACATGGACGAGGTCTGTGCCCGGTGAGTTATTGCTTATAGTATAATGTGATGATACCGTATATAAACCGTTACAGGAAAATACGATGAGAGCTTGTAAAAACAAGGTAAAAGTAGATTATACAAAGTTGAGGTTTAGCCTCCAAGCGGCCGGATGCAGGAAACGCGCAAATAATGGATGCTTTGAGGGCCTGAACTTGTTGCTCCGCGCAAAAGCTGCACAAGGTGTTTCGAAATTTACAGTACTTTGCGAATGTTCATGCGAATATAAACTCATCCTTCCAGCGAATTATTTATTGAGAATAAATACGGAAGAGATGCAACGCAGGCCGAGCGTGTAAAGCGTGAAAGCGGAATTTATTGCTAGTGAATTTTTATTCATTCCATGCTCCAAGGCCGGCCTTTATTGCATGCACAGGTCATCTGTAGAGAACATTGTATATCGTTTCAGGTACACAAAAATGGACTCTTGACTAGTGTCTGATTTTATTTGTGAGATGGTGGCAAGCGACCTCGCGATTCAACTGATGTTAAGTGATAACCGCCGCCCATGGACATTTGCAACACACGTAGGGTTGCAGTTGCTTTGCCACCTTACCTTGCCTCACTCACCAGAGGAAACGCAGCCGTGTAACATTTCCACTACACGCCTCACTCAGTCACTTAAATTCCAATCGAACGGGGAACTGTGTTCTTTTAGATTAAGATTTCACCCAATATCGTGCACGAATATACAATACGGATGTTTCGTCAGCGTCTGGTGAGGGGGGGGGGGCAGAGGGGGGGGGGGGGGGTTATAAGCGTCCATCGGAAAGGCGGTATTGCAGGGCCCGTCCGTCCGTGCACCGCGCGTGTGGGTTGTCTATTGCGCAGCGGGTGTAGCGGGCGCCCGTGCTGCCGGGGGTCGTGGGGACTGGTCGGAGGCGCATGGTCGTTGCCCCCGCCGACCGTTGCTTGGCCCGCGCTGCTGCTGGGGTCTTCGGCCGGTCACCGAACCCGCCCGCGAGGCCGGCCGCATCCACCCCGCGCCTTTGTGGACGCACCTAGCAGATAACGCTCGCGAACACCGAGCCGCCGCCTCGCGCTAGTCGCTTCCTTGTCGCGACTGTTACAGTTTCCGTTACGAACACACGTGCCTTTGGGATGATGACGAAGATATAGCAACCGCCGCGCATTTGATGATGATATAGCAACTTTCAGCGATGCCATAAAACACGAGTGTTATCTCGTGAGCTAAGCAATTTCCAAGTATCATTTCACATTTTCAAACTGAACAAAATCAATTACATGGACTTTTTTCAACGTTATCGACTCTACGATTACTTGCATGTAGCAAGGCTGTAGATTGTAGGAATTCGCAATAATCTATGGCGTCTCAATTTATGATAGGCGTATGACGACCGTAAAGAACGTTATTTGACTTAAGTAGTTTTTAACTACTATTGTTTTAACGGGCAGGAGATAAATCATGTTTTCAATCTTGACGCCAAATTGCATACGCAATGCATTGCATCCACAGTGGTGACACGTGTACTGATCACATTCTGCATTACAAGAGACCCAATAGGAAGTTGACTTGACAACTGCGCAATCGCACGCCCAGTCGTTTCTAATAAAGACGCGTGAGTGTCAATTGTTCTAGATCTTGTCATAACCGTTACATTAAATAATGAATTTCATGTTGCTCAATATAATGTTTGAGAGCGGTAACTTTAATTAACGCCTAAAGGAGGAAAATACTCCATCATTAATTATTTTTATGTAATCAATTAGTAGAAGGCGTATTACATTTAAAATTCGCTACCGTACCGTATCAATGTATTTGCAATTATTCCAAACTAATTTCTTACCGGCTCACAGGCGTATATGATAAGCCACGTCTAGAGATCAAACTTCGTCACGTTAAAATCGGAAATTCTAGACGAGGCCGCAATAATAGCGGTCGCGTCGTGTCGCGCGCGGCGAATTCAAAATTTACCGTTAACGTCCGCGAACCAAATAAATCTTTTTAGGCAAAAAGTGTTCACTAAAATGGTAACAGGCTGTCCGGTGCCTTAGTACAATGGCCGCTCCGAATGCTCGACCACCGCGCATCGGGGAACAGATGTTGAACGGTGCAGCATTAAACAATTCGGCCTCGACGAAACAACCGGTCGCAGCGTGCGAATTTCACTGTAAGCGATTGCAGGCAGAAATACCGAACTAGGGCCGCCATGTAACCGTAATGTGAACAGGAAAGATATTTGAAAGTGGAGCACGCTGCAGGCCGATATATCCGCGATAGGATGTAATGGCAGCGCAAGGCAAACGGCGCTATTCAGAGTGGCGTATTTATGCCGTTGCTAGATTCGAGTGGAGTAGACTATAGACTGGGAGCAATAGATTAAATTGTATAACGCGATTTAACGTTTCCACGTTAACATAGTCGCGCAGTCATACCGCTGACGACTGTACACGTGTAACTGAAACTCCTAGGGCTTGGTGCCGCCTATGAACCTCAATTTTGTAATAAAGGTTCTTAAAGTAACCAAACTTGTATAATATGACATAAACAGTTAAATAAATCAAAATTAAATAAACAAATTATAAAAACAAGTGGCCTAGGAGGAGATCGACGTTAAATACATCTTCCGAGAGAGAATCTAAACTGTAAAACACATGTATTAACATACTGGTGTGTTTATGCGACTGGTGTGTGCGTATCGACACCGTTTGCAATGTCATAACGAGTAAAACGTCCGGCAATGTTGCCAGCGCACGCCGTTGGTCACGTTGTATCATTGTTTCATGCCGCAAATGAAGCGCCATTGAGCCGAGTCACCTTCTGGCGACGGAGAATCTGACACGTGTTAGCGACTTCCTCGTTGGTTCTCATATTAGCACAATCAGCGTGCGCGACTTTTCAAGATGGACGACAACGCGGCGAAATATAACACACTCCTCCCATTGCGGCAATGAACCGAGCTGAACTCAATATTGGTATTGCATACGAATTCGACAGTAGTGTGGTGCAAAATGTAATTATGTCTAACAGTGATAGTCACGTTTTATTGTTTTACTCAGAGGACCCTCCAACCTCGTTCGGTACATCGTAATCACCACGGAAGACATTCCGCGCTACAATCAACACCCACGAGACGAATCAAAGTTTACGACCAAACGAACGTTAGAGCCTCAATGCAAAGCCACTCCGAGGTCAAGGATGATAATTTGGATATAGCCACTCGCAATAATAAAGGACACTTCCGCTATATCGGGTTTGGAAGGTCTTTAAGAACGTAATTAATTTACCTATTAATATAATAAATGCTTCCCCCGATACCGCAATGTAGTCAATACTATCTATAAGGTCATTGTCTCTTCGGTTGACTTTTATTCGTCAACAGACAACTTTAAATAATGACTAGATTCGCACGCTTCAATTATCTTACATACGTTATGCTGAAGTAAAATTTATCAAATACTACCGACATTTTGAGGCATTTGTTTTCCAATACGATGGGCAAGTGCGTGCGGATAAATACCACAACCTCACAGAATATTGGCGTCAAGTGGAAGTGTTTGAACTTCTGCGTTTCGTCTGATGAGTAAGGTAGCCGGAGGACCCCACTTTATTGAAATGTGGCAACGCATCTACAACCTAAACTACGTGTTGCAAATGTCCATGGGCGGAATTTGCCACCTTCTGCCATAAAAAATAACATTTTGTATGCATTACGCAGTTATCTTAAATTAAGTTCTCATCGTAGGTTTAGGCTATAAAGAAGCACGAAAGTAGGTTTAGCTACACTTTGATCATAGCCAGAAGGCCAAAAGCGATTAGTAGCTTTAGCTGTATGTGAAATGTGCCCCCTTATAGATATAAGGATTGTACCCTTAAGAACATCTTTCGAAACTACTAACGTAAAGATTTGAAAATCTTATAACTTTGAAAATATTCCAATAATACATAACGTAAACAGTAAAACTAGTAAATTCCAAAAAATGAGTTTTAGGGCGTTTCGAATACGTCATGTTGACAGCATGTAGGTACTCAAAGCAAAACACGTATTTATACAAGTTTTCCACGGCCACGTGATGAAGTAGATAGACAGATAGTATCACAACACTATATGGAAATATAAAACGGGCAAATATCACTGGACCCATCGGTTGCGCTGTACCGTTGTCAAGTCGTATCACGCGCGAGGGCGGTATCGTTCAAATTTCGAATGTCCGCTTTCAGTGCTTCGGGGGCTCACCCACAGACGACGCCGTGGCCGCTGTGTGGCGCTGTCGTTTACCTGCGTGAAGCACCAGTTCTCGGCGACAGGGGTGTTCCCGTCGTGCAACGGGCTGGGCACGCGGCTCACCGCCATGCCGCCGGCGCCGTTCGACGTGACGCGCGCCGACTGCGGAGCGGCCGCGCCGCCGCCCGACCCGCCGCCGCCGCACTCGCTGCCCGAACCGAGCCTGCAAAACGACCGCACCGTGCTATTCCCGTGCCGAGTACAACGATCGTACAGCGAATAAATACAATAAGGGATTCTTTTTTCTAAACTGAGACAGCCCTCACTGTTGCGGGAATGGGCCGGTCCGTCCGGGGCGTACCACGACCTCACACAATAGGCCATCGTGAAAGGGACGTGTTAAACTTCTGCGATTCGTCTGGTGAGTGAGGTAGCCGGGGCCTAATTTATTACAAGATGGCAATGCATATGCAACCCTATGGGTGTTGCAAAATGTCCATGGGCAGCGGTTATAACTTAACAACAGGTGAACCGCCAGCTTGTTTGCCACATTTTCACATTAAAAAATACGCGAATATTATTACGGATTTCTATAAACCTTAGTTACAGAGTTAGTTGTATACGAATTAAGTACGTACGTAGCCGTTAGTTCATTAAATGTTATAAATAATCAAAAATTTCCCCCTTCCTGGCTTAAACGAAAGGAAACTTCTATAGGAAGCATAGTCCACCGCGCGACCCCAATTGCGTGTTGACAAACTCCTAGTACCCCCTCCTTCCTCCAGTCTCCTGGCGGTGTTATTTAGATCTTTAAGTAAGCGGAATGTAAGCACATAAAATTGTCAGTTAACGGTTTCATTGACTGAATTACAGGTGAGCATCCCGATACTAGTAGGTTCTCTTTTGTATAGATCTTGGTAACATTAATAAATGCCAGTTTATTTGTTTGCTTACCCCATCGAGTCCTAAGCGGATTTCGAATTGATTTAGGTTACAGGCTTGATTTACAAATAGTAAAGTACATTAGACAATTTGCTTTGTTTCAAGAAAACAGATTTGAGAACAGTTTATAAATCGTATTATTCGCTCGTATATTCATTGTCGAAAGATTATGCTGAAAGACCTCCGAAATCACAGAGTAAAGGGGCGACCTCATCTACGTGGATTCACAGAACATGATAAGAAACTGACACTGAAAGCGACGTGAAAATTTGTTAATAACTTACCAATAAATAATGAAAATCCTTCATAAACATATTTGGTTTTAACTCGTTAATGAAAAGAAAATGTTACCTCAAATTTTCTACTGACAGACAACGCATTTTTTAGTGTAACAACATTTGGGTCTCCGTGCAATATTATCGCGTCAACGGAATGTGTAACAATTACGAAAATAACATTCCACGCTATTGATACTATCTGATAACGGACAGATGATGTTACCGCGCTGGAAAATCGGCCCGTTCGACTTTATTATTGTCGCTTATAAACCCAAGTTATCTGTTTCGAAAGTGGTCCAATCCTAACGTATGAGCAACGTGTGATTAAAATTCGTCGAGGTGAATTCAAAATGAAATAAGGCTGACCCGAATGCGGAAAGTAAATTAGTCTTTAAGATAATAATCAAGCTTCTTTTATTTCTTTTGTGCCTTATCTAATGTAAGATACATTAGAAAATTTAGGACGGTTCATACATTGCATTTGTTTAAGAAGTTGACTTTAACTTGTTCAAGCTACTGTACTGGACTCGTAAACGAGTTTCATAAAAATGCTCAATCAGTCGCTAACCCGAGTGCAGCCGTCAGAGGTGATAACAAAAGGCCCTCATAAATCAGAACGTCCGTTCACAAATGTGCGAGGCTCAAACGAACTAACGCTTGACCCAGTGGAGCGACCCACTCGAGACGGTGCACCTCGCAGATTCGCTTGTAACTGAACGCATACGGGGATCGCAATACGCCAATCGACGAGCGCACGCAGTTTCGCGTCCCAAAACTGGGACGAGAGCACAGTTCTCGTTCCAGTTCGCGGGGCAAGCGGTTTTCGGCGGCGCGCGGCGTTATTCGGAAACGTCACTCTCGGCGTTTCGGTGTCGACGGCGTACAGTGAGGCGCACAAGTGGGACGAGCACAATACCGCGAGATACCTCCCCGGCAGACTTTCACGAGCTTCGATTACCAAATGCGCGTTAGAATCTGTGTCGGTTTCATCACCGCGCTGCATCCGTTCGGGGATCGCGTGCCCGCCTCGTCGTGTGGGCGCACACGGCCGAAAACCTACAAGGGTAAAGGCCCATTTACACGATGCCATTTTCTTGAACATACAAGAGCAATAATTGCATGCAATAAATTGCGCGCAATAATTGTTTAGACCATTTGTTGTTTAGACCATGCAACTCATTTATTGCTTCAATTTAATTGTATACAACAGGCAAGAAACTGGCACCATGTAAATGGGCCTTTAGCGTCGACCGACCGAGTTGCGTCGTAGCGACCAATTTAGCGACAGACTAAATTCAACGTAAAACGTTTAGACACACGGCTGTCTTTGGAACAGCGAAAAAAAACCACGACTGGAGACTCACTAAGGGCGGTCGAGGAACGCTCAGCCGAGCAATTACAGTTTTATGTAGAAGCGTTTTAGGTTTAATTGAGATTGTTTCTGACCGAGTCGCTTTTCTGTCTGTGTGCGTTGGTTCTTAGGGGTACAAGTGATGACGCCCGACCGCACCGCACGCGAATCCACGCTGATGCACATATTCCATTGCCCAATATCGTTGCAAAATCGACAGCGGTCAGACTCTTTCATTCCCTTCCAGTATGTTTAAATCAATAACGGTGCACGTTAGTGTTGCCCCTTATGCCAAGGTTGGCCTTAAAGTTGACACGAATAATAGACAAATTTTTTGTTCAGATAAAATGGATTGTATATATTTTATATGCGTGAAAAACGTATTGTAATTTATACGAAAAAAAAATACAAATAAATACAGCTTAGATTGGTTTAACTACATAATACACAAAGATATATTTATGCCATCCGAGGGCATTAAACACTAACTGCTTACATAAAATTTATAATAAAAATATAGAACTCACCAGAAATTTATCAGAACGATATGATATAGTATAGAGTACAAACATATAAACATTTTCTAGATGAGAAGAAGATACATAAAACTACGTCAATTACAATCATTATAGTCGAGGTGCACGACAAAGTTTAAAGTTTTATGTGCAAAAATCAAAATTGAACGGTGTAGAGAACTTAGAGAACAGAACGATGTGACTTGAGTCATATCCGCAAAGAAAATTGACGACCGAGTCACAGTATAAAGTAGGCTAAATTATTTCACTAATCGTTGTAACCTAGAAACTGAATTTGTGTCTATGGAGCAAGTTTCATAGCTAAAATCAATTACGGAACTGTAAAACTTGAGCTGTTCGAACCAAACATTTCTTTACCTAGATACAATACGAAACATTTTAACACAATTACAATTTTTACAATACATTCCGACTTAAATAATCACGAAGTTTTTTCCTTAACATAGTTTCCGGACATAGATAACCGATCAACTGTACAAACCGAGCTGGAAATATTGATTAAAATCGGCTCAAAGGGCGAGTATCCGAGTACGTTTCCAGAAGGACGATGTCGAGGCTCCCGTCAAACATGGCCGCCAAATGCAGCTCGTAGCCTCGGCGCTATTCTACCGAAACGTACATTTGGCGCGGGCCCTCGATACGTGGTCATTTTTCACAGTGTCGAGTGCTGATAAGTTATCACCCGAGGTCGGCCAGCGAATTTGCCACAGCGACAAACGGTCGACCCGGACGACCCAAATTCGATGCGACTGTTCTATAAAGTAACGCGCAACGTCGAAACGTCGCAGCCGTTCTCCTTTTTCGATTCTTGACACACAAATATATTATTGCCTGTGTACTTGAACTACCTGTGTTCGGGCGTGAACGTTTCAGTTCGATAAGCATTGATAAATTGATAAATTTGAAAAACGCTCATGACCAAACTGACGTGCGCGTTGCGAAATGATGTTGGCGTAGGGAAGACGTATGAATAACAGTAACAGTTTTAAATTACAACCTCGACTAGTGACAGTAAAATACAATCTTTAAATCTGGTTTTAAATGAAATAAAACATTTCACTTCCAATTGATCTTTATTCTAATAAATGGAATTTAAAAGTTTTTTTAACTTTTATCATATCACTTTACTGATATGTTCAATAATGAACGTGTGAGATTGTGGGAAATCTAATCAAAGAATACATGGTCTCTAGGTTTGGATTAAAGTCGTTTACTTTACTATAATATCCTTGGTATAAAACGATATTTTACCATGAAAAGGTTATTCCACAGATACAAACAAAGATTCATTAATAAATACGGAATTAACGTGATCAAACAAGTTAGTTTATGTAACGCGATATCGCCTTCCTTATTACTTTAGTTAATCCGTAGCACGGACGAATAATTGTTGAATAAGGATATGACAAACGTGTTTGCGTCACTTAAAAAATACTATACACATATTTGATTTGAATTAGACAACGAATCTTATAAGAAATAAATTAGTGGTGGTCTTCTTAGCAAGAGTGAGAGTGAGCTACACGTATATTTCGAATGAAATCAATTAAATCCCTCTTTATAAATACGGTTGGGACGTTAAGAAAAGTCAATAACCCGTAAAAGCTTGAGCAATCTGAGCCGCGAGTACCTACCTACCATTGGTCTCTCGTGATCTTATTATAGATGTGTCATCCGCCGTGCTAGTATCTTTTCTATATTTAAGCCCTCTCGGCAACGGTCCTCAACACTGTTGGAACGCAAAGATGAATTTCAAAAGATCGCTATAAAAATTAACAGCAACCTAGAGTTATGTACAGTTATCGACTAGATACTTCGTTAAGAATAAAAAGACATTTAGTATTCCGTCGAGTGTGATACTAATTTAGCACAAAGTTATTTTGACATTTTATCTTCTTAATCAAAATATTTCGGTGCGTAAGGGTCGACACGGGTCGTCGAAACGGATTCAACTCGGCAAACGCGGTGTTTCATGAAATATGTCACTCTTTAAACCCTGAAAGTCAAAGGTTCTACAAACCCAACAAACGCAATGACAACAACGAGTGAATTAATATTGAATTATTTTGTACTGGGACACCATAATCGGCGAGACAATATTGGCACTGATATTAGCATTTGCAATCAACGACAACGAATCTATAGAAACGAAACAATGGCGTTAGAATTGGAACGTAGGACGACGACGCGCGTCGATTGTGAGGCCGATTTTAAAGGAGCTCGCCGATGCATCGGGCGTTCCGAGGGTGAACAAGTGGGCAACGGCCTCTTAACGACAACTGCGCCGTGACTCAGACGCCCTGAGGACGATCCGACAATAGGGTCCTCGACTGATGCTCTGAAGGACGGATTATTTACAGCCAACGAACCGTCCCGCGATATCGCTCTTTTGACACGACAACGCCGAGTAAATACCGTTTGCAGTTTAATGTCGTTGGTTTCGAAATTAAATTAATCACTCTTTATATGCTCCTTTATGTTCTTGCTTAGTGACTAGTGACTGGAAAAATTAAAATATTTATAAAGTTCTAAACAAAGAACTAAATAAACAATCTTATTTGATAAAAGTTGTAGTTTGTTTTTCCCAAGAATCAATTATTTTCGTTTTCTATGTTGAAGAGAATCTTGAGAGTGTTATTAATATTAAGAGACATACAATGCAGATAAATATGATATGAACATGTAATAAAATTAAATCTTTTGCAAATTATTAAAATATAACCGATTTTTTGTGACTTGCGAACCTTTTCACGTCTTTTGGGATATATCCCATCCGGACGTTTTCAGATCGGTAAGACTGATAATGGACCATGCAGATGGATACGCGAGGCCATCGTGCACCGTCACAAAATGCGTCGGACAACAAAGGTGAGGTTGCCTATTAAACTCTATTGTTTGAAGCCTTCGCGCAGGTAAAAACGTGAAGCGGGGCAAGTAAACAAAAGCGAGACATAAAATTGACACAAGATTACTCACGCATCTCCAGAGCATGTTTAACTGCATTTGCGCAATTCACTTTGTATTACTACTATGTACTCCTAGCAGAAGTCAATCATTACTTTGTGGTTGTCACCAGATGATAAAACTGTTTGAGAATGATGCTCATAGCGTTGAAAATATTTACGGATGGCTAACTCGTAAGCACTCATGTGTGTATTACATGAGTGCCTCTAACTGTGCTGTCTTAACACGCCTGTAAAACTGTAGCCTTTCAACTGGCGACGAAGTTTCACAAAATCCTAAAAATACAATGTGATATCACTCAATAAAAAGAAGAAAACTCAAATCCCTTGTTTCGGCCATCCCTCACTGTCTGTACAAAGGAGAATGACCAGTAATGATTTATTCTATTTATGTGATTTTTGCAAATACAAACATGAAAAAGAAATTAAAGTAACAGCCTATATTGTTGTGTATCGGGTGCTTACTCGCGGAGGGTAGCGGGATCCGCAGAACGTTGCTCCGCTGGCCGCCCGCAGTTAGTAGGGGGCCCAAGTAGTGTGCCAGACACGCACGAAAGGCTGCCCCGCCAACTGTGCATTATCCCAGGGTGGCCCCATCGTGCCGGTTGGCGATCGGGAGAGAGTTGGCGATCCCTGGGCGTCCCCGCAGTCCCCAGATCAAGCCCCCTGCGGTGCTGTGACTCTGGTTGCGTTGTTGGGTAACATCGCAAGACCTCGTTCAACTGCTATCCTCCATCCTATTCACTCCACATATTAAATGCGTAATCGGAAAAAGAAAAGTAGGTTCACACGGCGGATGCACTTCCTCTCCTTACAAGTGCACCTCTCTAACATTCGAGGTCTGCACTCAAATCTCTGTTTTGTACACCATCATCTAGAGACTGACAAACCGCATCTACTTTTCTTGACGGAGACGCAAATACGATGTCCTACAGATACGGCGTACCTGGACTATCCAGGGTATATTTTGGAGCACCACTTCCACCAGCGTGCCGGAGTCTGTGTATACGCCCGCAATGATATCTGTTATCAGCGTCTCCATCACTTTGAAGACGCCAGTTTTTCAACCCTTTGGGTGTTAGTGGATACAGGAGTGGAAAAAATCATCTATCCCTTTATCTATCGATCGCACAGCGGTGACAAGGAGACAACTCATTTATTCGCTCATCTTAGCGAGGCCGCTGATGTGGCAGTCCAACGGTACCCTACTGCACAGTTGGTCTTTCTGGGGGATTTTAACGCCTGTCATCAGGACTGGTTATTCCCATACCAGAGGACTGACCATGCCGGGAGAGAAGCGTGGAACTTTGCTACCTCTCTTGGTCTCTCCCAGCTGGTGTAGCAGGCGACCAGGGTACCAGATGTGGACGGTCACATAGCCAATTTCCTGGAACTTGTGCTGACAACCGATCCAGACAGGTATAGTGTTCAAATCTCCTCTCCTTTAGGAACTTCTGACCACTGTCTGGTGAAATCTGTGTCGTCGTATTCTCCACCCAAAGCACAGGGTGTGCGTCGAATTTGGCGATACAAGTCAGTAGATTGGGATAAGATGCGGCACTTTTTTGCTTCTTATCCTTGGCGGCAAATTTGCTTTGCTTCTGGAGACCCGTCGAGCTGCGCGGAAGCCGTAACCGATGTGATACGTCAAGCAATGGAGTATTTCATCCCATTTGCTGACGTACCT